GAGTTCGATCCCTGGTACCGATAAAAACGAAAAAGAAAAAAAAAAAAAGTTTTTCAGTAAAGTGGACAGCAGAAAATTGCAAGACTTGAACAGTCACTTAGTAAAAATACACAATGCAAGCAATAAATATACATGTTAGAAATCAGAGAAATGTAAATTGAAATGAAAAGATATCAGTGAATGTTCACTGGTTCGGCAAAAACTGAAGACTGCAAACCCAAATGCAAGCAAGGAGAGGACAGCCATCAAGAGAGAGCTGCAACATAAAGAAAAGATGGTGGTAGGACTTCTACACAATTTAAAAATTTCCATCTCAGGCATTCACAGAGAGCAATGGTCTTCAATTAGGTGGACTATAAAGCTTTGCACATGGGAACAGCACGCTTTGTGGAATCAGTTTTGCTCTTAGCTGTGCTTTCTTCTCTCTGATGTGGTTTACAAGGTCCCTGAGTGTAAGAGTCTTCTCTGTCTGCTCTTTCACAATCACCCTTCACAAAATTTATCATTGTGCATTGTCACAAGGTAAAAAACTTCAGGAAGAAAGAGAGAATTTGACAATCCCCTTAATAAAGACACATAAATTAGCCTCCTACTCCTAATTCTGTTTCATCAAGTTATATTTAGCAATCACCAGAATTTCTAATGTTCTATTTTAACCAATTATGTACTTGACAGTCACAGAATTAACTTACTCCAGAATACATTTTAAACACTTCAAATACAGAGGTGACAGAAAATTGTAAAAGGTAATTCTGATTTATATGCAGGTTTTTGCTGTCAAGAAGTATGGTATATTTATCAAACAAAACATTTGAAAATAGTACTTTTTATACTACTATCCATTAGAATAAAATTTTGTTGGAAATTAGGAATATAAATATGAGTCGAAAGAGAAATAGTAAAACTTTTAAACATTTGAAAGAATTTGCTCTTGGAAAATGAGCATTTTTTTTGAGTATTCAACCATTATGGTATTTAAATTTATCTGAATACATTTAGAGAGATGTTTAAAAAATAGTGCAAAATAATAATGTAGCAGATTTACAGTTTACAATGTTATGATTTATAACAAATATTTCAACCTGTATTCCTTTGATAACATAAAATTCCAATGTTTAATAATCAAAAATATGTATTTGTAACTGCTATGCAAACAAAGAAAGAAGAGAGGAGAGAGGAGAGAGAGAGCTGAAGATCTCTTGCCTGGAAAACACTGAAAACACACATACCAGGTCATTTACACAAGAGTATTTCCCCAGTAAATGTCTATCAATAGACAAGTAAATGTCTATCAATAGACAAGTAAAAACTAGGGATAACTATATAATAATGGATTATACTCAACAATAAAAAACACCAAACTACAGCTTTATGCAAAAACAAAATGAAACTTTTAAATTTAATGCACAGCTGAAATAGCAAAAGACAAAAAAATACTGTTTTCACTTACACTGAAAATCAAATAAAACTAAACAACATAACTTAAACTGTACTGCCTACAAAGCTGTGATGGATTTTATCACCCTCCTAAGAATCCTCTCCCCTTTTGCCTTAAAAGGCTTACAAAACACCCTATGATTTGTACTATTTCCCTGTGGAAGGTATACATCCCACCTTTGGGCTTTGGCTTTGCCACATAACATGTTTGAGCCAATTCCATGAGAAGTCATAATGCTTGTCGCAAGGCTCCAGCAATTTTCATCAAATCTCCTGGTCTTTTGTGTTTTAAAAGGAATTTTTCTTTTTACTTAGATTCTGGAATAAAGAAAGATGAACCATCAGCCATCACTGATGAAATACGTGCTTGTTTTCATAAGCCACCAAACTGTCCCAACTCTTCATAAGGGCAGCAAAGCCAAGTGATGCAGAAAAGGCTGTAAGCTTTTCAAGGAAAGGAAATCACTCCACAAAAGCAAAGACAATAGAAAGGGAAGAGGTTGTGACCCAAAAGAGGTAGGTGAAGGGGAGGCTTGTAGCAATATGGTTCCATTGTTCTTTTCTAATAGGCTTGGGTAATAGTTATAGGAGTGCTTATTTATAATCGTCATAATGCACTCATGCACCTTTCTGTATTTCCACTTACTCATTAGAAATGTAAAAAAATAAAAGACAAATTCATAAGCATTTATGATTGACCTCTGTCTAATCCATCTATAATATAAATTAATTTATGTTCTCCTCTTACCATTAAGTATCACCAAGATACTACCAAATAGTTGGTGTTAAAAATCAATTATTTTATCCTCATACAATGTATTATGAAATGTTCTAAAATGTTTACACAAAACCCCTGCATAAACCAATATAGTCAGGCTATCATCTCTGCAGATTCCGCATCTGCAGATACAACCACTTGTAGTTCAAAAATATGTGAAATTACATGGTAGCTGACCTATGCTATGTTGTTAGGCCTACAATGGTCACATCTGTATTGAACACTGTTGTAGTCAGGGGTTATACACAGAGAACAATTAGAATCAGGACATGGAGTTTATAATATTATTTTAATAATGGTCACTGGCAGCTAACACAAGAAAATGTAGGAAATCTATCTGCAACATCAAAAACACAGAATAGTTAGTCAAGGCCTAAATCCCTCAGCAATATCGCACATGAGTCCAGATGAAAACCCAGAGCTCATGACTATGCCTCCCAGGAGTCCAATTGGAGGTCCAGAGCCCACAAGATGGACTCACGCCAGTCTCTTTTATGGATCTGTGCCAGGAAGGCCCAAAAGTTAGTGGTAGAAGCCAGAAAGTCCATGCCAGTGGGGTGAAGGAGCTGTGCTGGTGGGATGAAGGTTCTACGCTGGAGCCGCGAAGTCACTCACAACAAAGACCAGGGCTGTCCTGAAAAGCACCACAGCCATCCTCAGTGACACGGAGGCCCCGAGCCCCTCTGATGATAAGCACAGTTGGGTACATGCCAGGAAGCCAGTGTGAAGAGTTGATCCTGGAGACCAAGCGGCACACATCTTACCCTCCAGAGCCAGTAAGCAATGCTCGATATAAGGACCAAAGCTTCTCCAGGAGAAGAGAACCCATGGCTCAAACAGCAACTCGTAGGAAAACCCACAATGCCTCAGTGCCTCAATGCGTTAACGCCTTCCTTCTGCTCCACCTTTCTATTTATGCTGGCAACTTTCCTCAGGTGGAGCACCTATGCTCAGTGCCATGCTGATGTAATCCAGCTGGCATTAAGTTAACCACCAGTTCTTAATCCATAACAATCCACCCCTGGTCAAATTAATAACCACAGGCATTTCCTTCAATGATAGTCCTTAGTGGCAGATTTGTGAAAGTTAACACATCTTAGTCTATTCAGATTTACAGTAATACAACAATTACATATATACAATTCTTTTTACACGTAATTCCTGCACCAAAAGCGCATTTAAAGGGTGACCAAGGTTCAACATTAAAACACAGTACTTTGATAAATTAACCTGGTTACAAACATAAAGATACATTAAAGCCACACTAAAAGAACAATTATAATCACAGTCCTTGCTTCCCATTAACTTTTAACATGACATGGTAAGACTAACACACAAGTATTTCCTGCAATTCAAATGTACTCTTGATTTTTCCGTTGTCCTATTCTAAACAACCATGTTCTCTGCTTCTTCTTTGCAACCCACAGTTCCAATGGAGCCTTCTTCTTGGCCAAGTGTTTTAAGTTACTCTGCTGGCTCTTTGCTCTAAATTTTCACAATAGATCTGTTCAAAAGTTCTCTAAAGTAACCATGCTACAATCCCAACAGTAGACTGAACTGAAATTTTTCTGCCACCAAGGTAATCTCTAATTACAAGCAAAATGAAGACCAACCTTCAGCTAAAGAACAATATACTACCTGGACTCTAGAAGACATTGCAGTCCTTCTCGATAGAAGCCTCCCAGGCTTCATCTTAACTGGCAGCATTTCCATCACTACCCTGATTTTCCAGATTCCAGAGTCTCCAAAATAGTACAGCATACAGGGGCCGTCTCTTTGGCCAGTCTCTCAAATATTTTCCAAATTAATTTCTAAGGCTCTTTAGACAAATGGCCAGTCAACATAACAGCAATAACCCCACTCTTGGTACTAAAATCTGTATTAGTCAGGGTTTTAACTAGCAAGAACAGATATAACACGAGATATATAGATGTAAAAGAAACAAGAAGATTGGCTTGCGATGGTCAGCCACAGAGTCTGATGAGGAAGCATGCAGAGGCTGTCTACACACTGGAGGCCGAAGGATGCAATCCAAGGTCTGGAGTTCACCCTAGCATCTTGTGCAAGCTCACACCAGCAGGCTGATGGGTCTGCAACAGAAGGCCGAAGGCTCTACGATGAAAGGCTGAAGAGTCTATGCCAGAAAGCTGAAGAGTCTACACTGGAAGCCAGGAGACAATATCCAAACAAAGGTGAAGACTGGAAGCTTCTTCCAAAAATGAAATGCATTCATCCTGCCTCCTTCCCTTTTATACCTCCAGATGATGAGTCGCCCTAAGGTGAGTCTTCTTCTACATCCTTGTGTGTAGAGTTGCTAAATCTATTTAGTTAAGCTTCTAAATGTCTCAAGTTGACACAGTCAATCAACCACTACAAACATTTAGACATGTTTTTGTCATTCTTCCCTGAATAACTAAAGAACAATTCTTTTGGGATTTGTGTAGTGCCCCCAACACACACACACAGAATCTTACTATGCAATTCAGACTGGCCTTCAACTTGTGGCAATCCTCCCGTCTCAGTTTCCTGAGTGCTGGGATTAGATGTGTGCCATTACTCCTGACTTAAATCATGATTATTTATATGGCATTTATATTTCTTTATGTATGATGAATAATCTATATTCTTTATGTATTATGAATAATCTATATCCATATGCAAACCCTATACCATTTTATATAAAGGACGTGAGCATTCTTAGATTTGGGTATCTGTAGCAAGTCCTCAGGAACTAGTCTCAAGAATACATAGGGTTGACTGTAAATAAAATTCACTAGTGACACAATCATTTTCTTGCTTTTTATTAATTCAATTCACTCAACAAACATGTAGTCTTTTAAGAAAACAAGAAGCACAGGCCTCTATCATTAAACTGACAGTCAATAAACTTACACATATAATGGATGTATAAAATCTTAAGTAGCAACAAGAACTATAACAAATAATGCTACAGTCAAGAAGCAATGTTTCATTAACAGGAAGCCAATGCAAAAATTTCGCGGCAAGAATTTGCTAGGCAAGTTTTAGGATAGTAAGGAAGTTAACAGTGATGGGAGTATGATGTGGTAGTACACTTTTAGTTAAGTGAATTTTATTTCTGCTTCTTACACAAAGCTTTGGTGATCCCAACAGTTTTGATGAGTCCTCCAATGCTTAAAATTACCTGCATATAATGTTGTATTCTAGGTATCTCTTCCAACTACAGACATCATTGGCAACTCAGACTAAAGCTGGGCAACACTTTTGAGCAGTGTTCAATAGGAAATCATTTGCCTATTGAATTTCAATGCACAAACTATAGATGGGGGGGAAACAAAACAAAACAAAACATTCTAGATGATGTAGGAGGCTAGAAATTTTATTTCTGCCAAGTAACTTTCACCTGTTATTGCCTGAACCTGTAAAACTACTACATTCACCTTCAGAAAATCCTTAATGCCTATATGCTACAGACAAGATGAATAAAGTATTTACAATAATCATGATGATCAAGTGGTCACTCCCTGCTAGAGGGCTGGTCAGCTTAAGCCAAGTGAGCATAAACAAGAAGTGATACTATGATTATGTATGCAAGATTCAGTCTTCTAACATACAGTTGTGCCTGAAAAATGTGCCCATTAAATCATATAGGGCTGTGCAGTTCATTTGCACCCTCAGAATGAGTCGGTGATGTGGTAATCTTGAGCCATGCTCATGAAGCAGGTGAGCCTTCTTTTTCCCCAACCTCCACCATCCAGCTTGAGGGTGGAAGACTGAAACCCTGGGGTGACAGTCACAAGAGGAAAGGCACCTGGGCCTGCAATCACACAATGTGGAAAGCTGCCTGAACCACTCTACTGGCTTCTTATTTATGTTTGCAGTAATAAATTCTTGTTTTCTTAAATTAATGCAAGTTTGATGCTACTACTGTTGGGCTTTCAAATGCTCAAGCAGCAGTTTCTTCTTATAAAACCCACTTGTAAATTTTTTAAAAATATGATCCAACTAGATTAACAAACCTAGTTTGTCATACATAAGGATTAATACACAGGGGAGTCTCACTGTCCCCATCACAGGATGCGGTCCAATGAAGTCCCCCTAAGAGATGGGCACTTGAAAGCACTCCATTCATGGGGTAGGCTGTAGGTTCATTGACTATCATTACAGAAACAGAATTTTCAAGACATGTCAGTGAAGTATAACGAGGTTTATCAGCCAGAAAGTTCGCACTCTGGAGAAAAGTCAAGGCACCCAATTTATAGATATACTGCTATCTGTAAAACCTTTGAGAATTTTTTAAGTATCCTGGAAAAGGTCACTGTAACCTTGGTGACTTTATGTCCTGAAGCTGCAGTTTTTCATAAGTCTGATGTTAAAATTACAATGTGCCTGTCTCCTCTCTACCTGTATTTTCTCTAGTCTTTCTCAGCACAACTCCCCAGACTGTAGAAAGCTGGGAGGTGTCCATACAACTTTGGGAAGATTACTACCCTACCCCCTTAAAGATGACTGCCTCACTCCTTCGGCTAGTCTGATCTCTGTACTTCAGAACCCCACTCCTCCCCACTCGGGTCACAGATTTCTTCCCACTCTGCACTGATTCATTTGCCAGGAAGGTTACAGACTTCCCTAACAAAGGAAGAGAGCACAGTGTCACAGAAATGACAGCCTTTAGAAGGCTCAGAGCTGCTTTCATTTCAAATATTTACTTCTGTCATTAGCTCCTCTACGTTTCAGTTCTGATACTCATTTCCAACTGGACTCACAGATGAACAAAAGTGGGATGTGTTTACACACATGAAAACCCTGCAGCAAGGGGCCCTTGAATACATGAAGGCACATTTACTCAGTTTAACTTTTTGATGAGCTAACTCATAAATCAACTGTCGACTGAAACAAGAATTCTTGCATTAATACTTCATCTAGGGAAGTAAAACAAAAGAAAGACCTAAGGGCTAAAGAGAAGGCATAGGGTTCCCCATACTGGGAAACAAAACCAGTATCTAACTCACCTCATAAAATCCCTGATAGGAAAACACTTGGGTTAAATATTTACCCTCTAAACTTATTTTTGTGGTTCCCAGGGTTTCTGTTTGAATTTATTGCCACATGTGCCTTCTGATAAACTTCTATCTCTCTGAGACAGAAAGAATAAGATTTCTACAATCACTGAGTTTAGTGCAGTCAGAGCAACGGTAATCCAAACCAGAGCCGATGTGCCCAACACCAGAGGCAAACAACTGGGCTTTCAACCGTTAAGTGTGTATTTTAAAACTTTCTTCTGGAGTTATATTTTAACAAGCATCTTAGTGGTTGGATGTCAGGTCTATTAAAATTTTCCAGTGTTAAAGCAAACGTACATGTCAATCTTATGTGAAATAGCTATCACTTTGCTTTCTCCTTTGGACAAGTTACAGTACCTGGAACGGAAGTAGCATTTATCTTTATTGGGCAATCCAACTGAGTTTGAAAGGAAAAAGGAAGTCAGATCTAATACTACCAGGAGGTCAGCACTTAAAAAAGCAGTACTTTACAAATGAGGACAATTAGTCCCCATCATTTAGTCACGTTAGAAACAGAGTGACTTCATCATCATTAGTATTTATTGGGCACCTATCACGTGCAAGGCACTACACTAGGTGCAGGGGAAGATACAAAGATAACTCTGACAGCCTGCCCTCAAAGGGCTTACAGTCTAGGAACATGGTCTTTAGATACTTTAGGCATAATTAACTTTTTTCTCTCATTCAACCTGTAGTTCACCAGAGCTTTTTGTTGTTGTTGTTTTGTATTTGATTATTAGGGATATGATCTGACTTTGTAGTTCAGGCTGGTGTTGAACTAAATCAGGCTAGCCTCATACACTTCTGGTGATCTTTCTGCCTGAGCCTCCCCAATGCTGGGATTATAGGCATGTACAATTAGACCTGGTTTCATCTTTTCACCTTCTAGTTCAGCAGCTTTGCATAAAAATCTTAGAAAGTCTTTCACTTGTAAATAAAATTCATTTTCATTAGAAAATGCCAACTATTACAATTAAGAAAATATTCATATAGTCAATGTTCTCATGAATTTTTGTGTATTCATATATTTGAAGTAAACAATTTGCCAAACTGCATCAAAAACATACACCTTTTTCAAAGCAGTCTCTAAACTTCTGGCAGTCTCAGGTAATGTGCAGAGGCTTTCTTAAAGCAAGGAAAACTTCTGAAAAGGCTAAGTTTGTGGCCGCAATCAAAATCCATGGCTTATGGTTTCTCCTCCCATAAGCCCATTATATGTTGATTAAAGTATTTTTTAAAACCCTTCCATAACCTACGTAGCCCCAAAACTCAAAGCTTTAGCTTCTTAGAGCACATTTCTAAGGTTAACTGGCTGTCCAAACCTAGCAAAGTACATTCATTCCAGAAAAAAAAAAACTCGAAATGTTTTTCTATTTGACCCTTGGGAATTTCTGAAGCTTTTTGTGTTCTTTTCAGCAAAAAGAAACTAAAATACAATCAGTTACAGAAATAAAAAAGTCTTAGCTCTTGTCTAGGTTATGCTACACAGAAAGGTTATGTTGGCAACGTTGGCACTACATATTAAAAGGAACTCATTCCTAACTGCAGGTATTCAGTAAATGTCTTACAATTACTCTCTTTTCAGAACCATCTCTGGGCTCAGACATTTTTAGCCATGCTGAGGTTCTTATTAGTTTGAAACCTAGATTGTTTGTAGAGATTTAATGAGGCTTTTTTTACAACTAAGAATACGGTCAACATTTTAAAACGTACAATTATGGTACAATAAAGCTGTCCACACCAAAAATGAGTTCCTGAGACACAGATTCCTTATTCTCATGATAGAGCATACTTATCCTGAGCAGTCTCTCTTAGTTAAGTAAAAAAGAAAACTTTTTATCCACGTTGTGTTAAGTGTGCCTTTGCACTTCTCACCAAACTCCAAAAATATGACGTTGCCAAATAAATAAACTGCAACTTAAATATCAACATTACTTTCTACACTAATAGATCCACTTACCATAAAAATATAAAGAACTGTTAAACTGCAAGTCAGGTCTGGTTCAAACTGCAAAATTATCATAACTGCTTTTTTTAATGAGAACAGACCCAGTCTTTTTGAGTTTGACACCTATGGATTTTAAGTTTATACATCCAGTGTTTGTACAAAGTAAATGAAACAAAATGTAATAAAGTAACTGAAGTAAAATGTAACAGAAATAAAGTCAGATCAGTATGAATTATGTGTTACGTCTTTCAATCACACTATCTTTATATGACTAAGGTGCTTTGTTTGTTCAATCTCTTTGACGACCAGATAACTGAATCTTACAAAATTGTGTGGTTTAAAAGGATCATCACTTAAGTTAACATGTCCAATTCTGCCATTTTACAGATACAAACACCAAGACCCTGAAGTTTAATCAAAAAGCTGGAAGCCAAAACCAGCCTCGTATTCATGTTATATCTCTGACCTTTTTGCCTGTTCGAAAAAAATCTTACTTTTGACATAAATCATACAAACACATATAACAGCTCTTAAATGAATGTAACTAAACAGTGATATATTTCCCGTGAGGTAAACAAAACAAATATTAGTCAGTTTAAACTGTTATAAAATGTTAGCCCTTTTGGTTGCCGCTGATCGTATAACTATAGTGTTTGGCTTTGCTTTTAAGGGTACATGCAGTTGCAATCTTTAAGATACTTATTTGCTCATTCAACAAAAAGTTACAAAAAATATAATCATGTAGCCAATCATATATTATATATTCACAAAATTACTTTAACATAAATTTAATATTTTCTTTATATTTCAAAATAAATAAATTCATGAAGTAAGATGAGATACTACTGCTATCTGAGTTGGTGGCAGCTTCAAAATTAGTCACTTCTATATAAGTAACAAACCACTTATAGGAATGATAGAAAGGTGTCCAGGTAACAAGAAAACATTACAAAAATTGTAAGGGGGGGCTGGGGATTTAGCTCAGCGGCGTAAGCGCCTGCCTTGCAAGCAGGCAGTCATGAGTTCGATCCCTGGTACCCACAAAAAGGAAAAAGACAAAAAAAAAAAAAAAATTTGTAAGGGAACTATAATCTATAAACTGAGGTAAAAGGTAAAAATAAGCTCAGAGAATTAGAAGACTTCTGTTCAAATTTTAACTTCATTCCTTGCTAGTTATTTACTTTCGAACAACTCACTAAACTGCATTTTAGGTTTTTTATCTGCAAAGAGCTAACACAGGCACTATTTACCTCACTAGTTACTGAGCACAACATAACAAAATACGTGAGAGGGCTTTGTAAATGGAAAACCACAATGCAATTATTACTACTTCAAAGATTATTAAAATGTGGACCTAGAGCTGTAAATGATTACCACTTAGTGGCACTTGGCATGCTCACAAGAATAAACTTAGATGGTAAACCATGCAAACATTTTCAACTTTCAATGGCAATGCTAAAAAAATTATACAAAGATATACAAAGAAAGGCTTTTAGAAAAAGCACTGAAAGACACACATTTGATTGACTTGAGATTTTAACATAAGTGTGAATGATTTATAGCATATAAAGAGGTATTCATTCTTTAAGTGGAGAAAGCTGCTAGTACTTTAAGAAACACAAGCTTTGTGAGTATTCCTGAAACAAATGAAACAAAATTCTATCTCTTTTGGCTTTTTGTAAACCAGGCTTATAATAAGTAACTGTATTTACTTTTCCTACTAAGCTAACATACCCTAAAAGATACAAAAGAATGTCTATCTAAGTCACATCCAGTATGAGCTTTCATGAACTCAACACATAAAATTCAGAGTTCTTATGACTCTACAGGCACCTGAAAGTTTTTATAACCCTTCGTGCTCACTTTATATTCCATAAAGAACAATGGAAATAGAGTGAATACTTAAAATACATATTTTTTCACAAATCCTTATTATGCAGTTGCCTTATTTTTGTAATACTCAACTCTGATGACTTTGTCATTATTTGCAAAATTATTTAACCCTTTCCTTCAAATATGTCTTTGACATTCTTACACCAAAAAATAACACCCCCCTAAGAAAAAACCAAAAAAAAAAAAGAAACAGAAGATGCAAGGGAAGAGATAAATGAGATATAATTCATTAAGTATAAAAATATGTTGTTTCAAGTTCAGAATAATTTAATAGCTCTTTGTTATTTCGTATGTATCTGGAAATGGGACAGATACATGTCCAGATCCTGTCACAAGAGGTAGAATTCCAGCATTTGGTACAACATTCCAAGATAGGGTCAAAGTGACATTCCTGTTTCCCCTACAAAGAGACAGAATAAACAGAAGTCAGCAGAAAGACTTTTACTTCAATAAATAAATGTTAAATTATGCAATGAGGCATCAAATACTTTTATTTGTAACCTGCTATTCTTAGTAGGAATGCTAATCTGCAAAAAGAACTATTTTCTCAAGTCATCTAAATTTCAAAGATGCTGCTGAAAACACCAGCATTGCATTTACAGCATCCCTTAATGACCAACCTAAGCTCACTTGTAGTTGTATTTAACAGAACTATGAACCAAAGTAATACAGTGAACATAAGACTTGTGCTAGGAATCTGAAAACAATGACATGAAACCTAAACTTTTCATTATTTACACGTGCAAATCTAAATAAATCAAAATTTATCATGAAATTTTTTGAAATTTTCATTTGGTAACAGAGGTTTGGTCTGGTCAAAATGGGTTTCTTCTAAAACTCTTTCTCATACTTATATACCACAAGGAGGTAACTTCCCAGAGAGATCAATCCTTCTGATTCTCACATTTTTGTAAAGAATAAACTGGAAATTTAGAAAAGAACCAAACTCAGTATCAATTTTTGGAACCAATGAACAGCTCTTTCATTCAAATTTCCAGACTCATGTTCAGAAAGAAGAGTTTGCCAGTCAACTTCGTCACTTATGAGAAAGTGCAAGACCCACAACACAGACAGAAACTGTAGGCCTCACTAGTTTGGCTACTATATTTCACACACTGAAAAATAACTACTGTACTTATTTTATGTCCTAAATTGTGTTTCTTTACAACCTTTTAAATTGAGGTCTATGTAAATACTTCCTTTTAAACTCATGCTATTTTTCTCTGAAATAAAAACACATCTCTCTACCCCTTTTACCTCTTATTAAATGTAGAAAACAACAAAGAATGCTCACTTGAGACCATTTCCATCATCAAAGAAGAAATATTTTGTTTTCATGTCTTTCAAGAGCAGCCTTGGATTATCACCTCTCAGAACAATCTTGTCCCAGAGGACAACTTGGTTCAGGGCCTACAGCACAATGAAAATTAGATAACTCATCAGAAATAGCATCTTCTCACTTCAAATTACATACTACTAAGCAGAAAGTTTCACACAAGTAAATAACAACTGTGATAATTTACTAACATCTTGTTGCATACATGATGATACCAAGTAATAAAGTGGGGAAGGTTTTCTTGGCAGAATATTTCCCTAAAGGAAATCGTTAGATGAAGTCAGCTATACAAAGGAAGGAGAGATAAATGAGATATTTATTAAATATAAAAAGAGCATTTCTTTTGCTAGGAGTCAATTCTTATTACAGAGAGTTCCCATAACTAACCAGTAGGTTTTACGTCTGTATGTACTCCAAAACATGAGACACTGCGAGGAGCAGAGGAATTCAAATCTGTAACAGGGAAGTATTCTTTTAAGTCCCCTTTCTCTGTAAACTTTTAATACCTTCTATCTCAGAGGAAACCCTGCGTGGTATTGGGAACAGAATGAGCAGTCTCAATTCATCACACAGTTAACACACATTTACTGCTGCCCCATTATGCTATGAATAAGAAACTACTAAAAAAAATGATTTTTCCCTTTAATTAAAAACTTTGTGCATCATTGTCTTATCATGCCAAAATTCTAGGACAGACATTTCTTTAACGCCAGTATATTCCAACATATTACAATATAATTTTAAAAATTAGGATTATGAAGTAGAAAACACATTTATGATTGTTGCTAAGTTTCAAATAATTTGTCTTTACTATGTTATCATTCATTAGCTTCTGAGACTGATTTCTCACTGTGACTGCAGTAATATAAAACGTAGAGCAGTTATTTCTAAAAAGTAGTTTTGAACTTACATCTTATAATTTCTTTCTAATACTAAACACAATTATTAAGACTGAACAGTGCAGAATCAAAGCTATGTTGAAACTAATGGTTTTTACATATATTTATTTTCACCAAAGCAATAATGTGTCAAATGCCAAATTAGTATTAACTTTCAGTAATCTGTTGAAACTGGTAGAATAATATTTTCATGTGTAGTTGTTACTCTTTCCTTCAAGAACAACTTTTCTGTTTATTTCTTTTAATGTTCTGTCTATTCTGAGGAGCCGAGATAAAAACTTACATAATTATTTTGGAACATAAAGTTTGAAACATAAAATTTATATTCCAGATCAATGTATAATGAAGTCCTAAAATTTCTAATAAATACATAAAACTTAACGTTTTATGTTTGCCTTTAAAAGCCATTAAAATAAGTTCAGACACACCCTTAACTACAAATGCATTTAAGGACACAGCAATTCTGGTAAACACAACATATAAACAACATGCTAAATCCACATTTTTCACTTTCATATTTTAAATCTATCATTTTATACCTTCAACACCAAGACTAAAATAGAATCTAAATATTGTACAGAAACATCCCAATATGGAAGGTACTTTGCCCGTAATAAAAGCTGTAAGTCACACTTGATTAACAGCTTTCAATAATAAACTGTTTAATAGGTTTTAATCTAACAATTTAATAGCTTTTAATTATAAAACTTACAAAGCAGAATTCATAATTTAAAAGACCAGTTCAAGTAGAGTTGTGAATACAATCCAACTCAAGTTTTTAATGATCTTTAGTTTTTGGTTGCATATTTTTGTAATGACCTTTAATACAGGCTTCAAATTTTGTTGATTCAATTATGCTAATAACTAGCTTTTTAATCTTAACTATACAAAGAGTATTTCAGCTGAGCAGCAGTAATATCTCATTTCATAGGAAACACAGAGTTCAGCAACATCTTTCCTGGTGTTACCACTGGAAGTATATTCCAAGAATTTCTGATCACAAATTATTCTGAACACAAACTCTCAAAATATACATCTTAGTTTATAAACCAGTTGGTGAACATGTACAATTACATAGTATCAATAGTGAATACTAATTTTAATTTCACATAGACTTCTAAATCAATGTTGAATTTTCTTATCCAACTTATTGGACTAGTTTACTTTTGTTTTTATAAGTTGACGTGACTTTTTAGCCAGACACAAGAACAAGGGTCTACAGTCTGTTATTTCTATTGTTTACCTGTGTCTGAAACTAGTATTAGCATTATCAATGATCTGTAATTTCTTTGCAGGAATCTTTTAAATCTATCTTCCAATTCTGTGCTACTTAAAATAAGGCAAAATAACCCACCTACATACTTCCTCTACTGCAATATTTTGCAAAATGCTGAACGTTAGGCAATATAGTCAATCTGTATGTACATGTACAGAATTTTTCTCCTTCCTTCAGAATTTGTTGCATGTCATAGAAGGCCATCTGATTTAATAATTCAACATGGGTAGTAATGCATTCATTTATAAAGTATTGGTAATGCTTAAATTCTTTTAATTTTAAGTTGAAAAAAATATTCTAACAGAAGCTCTAAACTATTTTCCTTATATACCTGTGAATCACGTTGTATATATACTATTCTGTAAACCACAATGCTACAGAAGGATTAAACATACACACACACACAAAAAAAAAAAACCCACAGAGAGGCTACCAAAGGAGATAAAATTTTCTTAGTAGAATCACCTCTCCATATGACTGTTATTTTTTAAAAATTAATTAAGTTTATTGGTACATTTTTGGTATACATAACAATGATCACATTCATTATAAGGAATTTGTACCTGAACGTGATACATTTTTGCCCCACTGTAAACAGGCGGGGAAGAGGGGCTAAAGGGAGGTCAGTGGAATGGGAAAAAAGATTGTGATTTTATTGCTAACCAGTGCAAAGCAGATCTTTTGACTATATAACATTTATACGCACAAACAGTAATATCTTAAAACATGCTTAAATATATGTACTTACATTATTTTTTGTTGAATATTCTGCTGATAAATAAAGAAACAACTGCTTAACATTCCAATCAAATATATTCTCTAAATGTATCACAAATTAAGGAATATATAAATTATAAAGCAGCATATATCTGACAAACAGAACTTGTTCTTAGATTAATTATCCATAGCAATGGAGAGATGGTCCAGAAGCATACAGCCATTATTTAATGAAACAAACAGAATATAAATATATTGAAAAATCTATCCCATTTCAAATTCAAAGTAAAAAAAAAAAAGCACCTATCACTATTCATGCAAGGTTTACAAGTTGAAATATTTTAATACGAAAATAAAAAGAAACCCAAAACCTAATTTCATGTAGCATCAGCCTGCCATAACAAAAGACAAAGGACTTAATATTCTCCATTGGAGCTCTAAAGTATTACCAATCAATAATATTAAAATTTATTAATATGCAAACATGAATTGTTTAAATAATTAACCAAGTATAAACTGTAAAAGTTGTTTTGGTTATACAGAAATAGAGATCAAAACATATCAATACATGAAATGCATAGAGTACAGGGCATTCTAGAATTATCTACAAGACTGATGCTACTATAGAGAATGAGTATAGAAAGTGCTGCCATTTTAGTAGGTGCATTTACATGCTGATAGTAAAAAGTTTGTTACATTACACTTTTAAATATGTATAATCACTCATTTAGAATTGAGACTTCTAAAACAGTTCCTTGAAACAATTTCAAGTATCAACAGCATTAAGAAAATCTGAATAAACTACAAATAATAAGATTATATATAAATTATATATATAGTAGTTAAGATATTAGCTCTACTTTTATGCTAGACATGCACTGTTTAATTTTTTAAATAACTTGACTTAGAAGCAGGCACATACAGTTAAGCATATGACTTTTCTGACGGCATACTCTAGTTCCTAAAAAGGTGCACTCAAAACTTATTCGTAGTCTACCTCTCAATCCAGTAAATTTATTTCTGAAAAATTACAAGTAGTTTCATGAGAGTACAAAGGAATAGCAGGTAAACTCCTCATCATATGATTTGTTTTAACTGTTCAGCCATTTTGCTTTTTATTCAAATTCAGACTGCTCACACCATAACCACCTTTAATAACCATAATCACCTCTAATCACACTCACAAGATTTTAACCTATGACCCTAAAGTTTAAGTAGCCAAAATGATCATTTGATCAAAAGATGGAAACTTAAGATACAGAGAAAAAATTTAAATCATTTCCATTAAAGTAATTATTTTCTTTAAGATTTCTACTTACAAAAGTTGTTATAAAAAATTGTAACAAAATTCTAACATAGTTTAACAGTTATTTTGAGATTAGCCTTTCAAACTATTACAAATGCAATTAACTTTTTAAACATACTTTTGTACTACCAGAACATACGAATTCTTTGGGACCATGTATTAAATACTCTGCCTGCTACTAAGCAGGCAGAGCTCTGGTAATACTTTTCTACTGTCATAATTGTTTTTGTGTTTCTGGTAAACAAATTCAAACATCCTTGTGTAGATGTTAATCAATTTAAATGGTTCCATGAAGAATTTAAGGTACGTTCACATAACTAACTCATAAATCTATCAAGTTTTCTTTAAGAATAAATGTGGAACTATTCACTCTACTGATAAAAATATAAATATAGGAATTTCCAGTTTGGTTGAGTTAATATGAGACAGTCATATACCCTGCTCCCCAAATCACTAAGGATGAATCTCACAAAACCAGAGAAAAAGCATGAAATACGGTATTTATTTTAAAGGATATCCACACTTATATCAAATGTAATGAATCCCAGATCACTTCTTTCTCTAGGTCCAGTGAAGTCTTCTACATTTTTTCTAGAAGATAAAAATTTTATCATTCTTTATATGTAACATCAAAAGAAATTCACATAAATAAAGTGAAGGACTAGATCTAGTTGTGTGCACAAGTGAAACAGCATTTTCACAAAGAAACAAGTAAACAGAGAAACATCAATTGTTAAAACAAGATACACATTCTAAATCAATATAAAACGTCTTCAGCTACTTTCATATACCTTAACAGACTAACAAGACCCAAGGGAAGATAAAGATTGCTTAAAAAATAAAGAAAGAACACTGGATATAAAACAAGTACGGGCAGAAGAAAGGTACATATGGTAAGATGATGTAGAAAATTAGTGACAGCTGCTTATTTATGGAGAGCTTACTACGCGTCAGAGCAGCTAGCATGTTTGACAGTTGTCTCAAGTCTCAAAACAAGCATGCCATTTAAGTATTTCATTTTAAACAACAACAACAAAAATAAGAACCAGAAGAGTAAAATCCTGCTGGAGATTACATCTAACATTCGCTAGGTGTTCAATCTGCACCAAACTCTTTTTAAGCATCCCATACAGCTCACTGACAGGGCTGATCTCCACGCAGGGTTTATTTAAATTTCAAACAGAATCTAACAGAAATTGGCACAGCAGACACACACACACACCACACACGGAAGTGGGGTGAGAGGGGAAACAAAACAGGTGGGGGAGTCGCTATTAGATGACTGGCTTCTAGGAGATTCTGACAAATTAATAACCTAAGGTCAGAGACAGATTTTGTTGGAAAATTGGAGAATAAACTGACAGGAAGTGCTACGTACATATCATAAACAAGTGATAGAGAAAAAAAAAAAAAAAAAAAAAGACAGGCAATAGCGAAATGACAGTCATTCCGAAATTTTACTTTTGGCGTCTTCAAAGATTTATTGAAGCTGCTGACTAAAACAAAAAATAATAATATATTTTAATTTTTTAAAAGCTGTGATAGGAGGCTAAGGTTGTCACACTTCTCTCTACAGCCCAGCACCTCCCTACCCTCACTCCTAAGCGGCTGCGAGCGCTCGGAGCAGGGAAGGCGACTCTGAAAGCAACGCGGAGCAGGGCGCGCGGGTCAGAAACGACACAAAAGCGCCGGCCGCGGAGCCGGGCAGCGGGTGCGCTGTTGTGTTGCTCCCTCATTGGCCGGGCCGGGGGAAGTGAGGCACAGGAAGCCGGCGGAGGCGCCCACCGGGCAGCGCCCGCGGTTAACACTGAAGAGCGAGCCCGGGAGGCTGCGGCAGGGGCAGCCCGAGGGGAGCCCGGGACCCCGCTCGTCGGGCCCGGTCCCGGGACGCGCGTTCTCCGGGCCCCGGCCGCACTCACAGCATGATCCGCGAGACGTGCAGCCGCACCGGGACGCTCCTGTCTTTGAAGGCTGTGGTGATGAAGCAGCCGAAGGTGAGCGCCGCCATCACGCTCAGGGAGAAGGCGAACAGGGAGTTCGCCCGCGACAGCACCGTGTTCATCGCGACCGTCTCTCAGGAGCCCTGTCTCCACACAGGCTGCAGGCTCGCGTTCCCGCAGCAGACCGGCTTCCTCAGATCCGCGCGCCTGCCTTGTGCACGTTTCGGGAGCGCGCGCCGCCGCCGCCCCGCCTCCTTTCCGGTCTTCAAACGCGCGCACGCGCGCGCGCTTGTCTTCCGGGGCACGCCCACCGCCTGGGCGGCTCCGCGCTGGAGCTGCCACTCAGCGACGAGCCCGCCCCCCCGTCAGCGGCCATGCACTGTAGCCAATCATCGACGAGAACGTGTGGGGCGTGGTTCCGTCTCCTCCGAGACGGGAGACCCGCCTCCCCAGAGCTGTCTTCCTCTCCTGTCATGTTGCGAGTGGGAAGTGTGTTTTCTACTTCTAGCGCTGGGTTTCGGGATCAGAGGTTTGAACTGTGCAGTATTAATTTTTATGTGCCATTCATTTTCTGTTAAAAACCAGCAAGACAAGGTGGTTTGGCGTCTGACCTGATGTGCTGTGTTTGGAAGTGGTACGTGGCAAAACGCCTGGTTCTGTTTCCCTTATCAAACCCGGGCAAAGTTAGAATTTAAGCTTCTCTGGAGGATATCGGGAAAAGGAAGAAATGAAGCCTCCCAGTTCCTTAAAAGCAGATACAGGGCCCGGCATTCAGTACCTTTACTGTTCACTGCCAACCTTAGTCCAGCTTTACTTTCTACAAAGTGAAGCTGTTTTAGAGAAGATAAAGGTTGATGTTATCTATTCTAAATATTTGCACTTTCGATAACTAAAAGGATAATCTCCCATAGGTGACAATCGTTGTGGAATTGGAGTAGAGCACCACATATAAAGAATCTAGAGGATAGCTATAAGCAGTCGATAAATATGGAATTAATCTATCATATGCTCAGTACCCTGATAGAATCTCTAGGTTGAGTATGCCAATTCCTGACCTTGAATATACTGTCTACCAACACTTTTGTTCCTTTCACAGTGACTTTTGTAATTATAAAAATGAGATTCAGAGAGTCCGGTAATAGGAAAGTAATTTTTAAAACATTTTGCATCTATAAACTATAGAATATGATGGGTGTAAACTAGAAGCTGATGATCTGAACCTCATGCTGGTTTCTATTATCTATTGTTGAGCTGCTTCTTTTTCATCTTTCATTGCCAATTAATTTTCCTACAGAGATACAGATAGGATTATTACTAATTGTTTAGCATGTGCCTGGAATAGTTCTAAGCCTTGGAAATACAGCACTAATGAGGCAGAGTCCCTGCTCAGGTGGAATAGAGCCAAGAAATGAAAAATTGATTAGTTATATACAGAAAGATCCTTAAGTATAAAATCTTTATAATTTTTTCTCTTCTAGGTAGTCAAACTGGTTTCAGTAAAGCAAATGTATACATTAAATGCTTATTAAGCTGCAAGAGATATGGAGATGTGTGCTGATCATTTTCTGTTCTCATGAAGCTTATAATCAAGTGAAGTTAAAGAAAACAGGAATCTGCAGTATAAAAAATTGTGAATACCAAGGGAAGTGGTACAATGCTAGGATTTCAATTGAAAAAGGAACCACATCTTATTAAAGTGGGACCAAGCATCATAAGCAAAATATTTAACAGTGCCTAGCCATCAATACACATTATTATTCTTATAGGATAACTGTCTAGGTAGATATTCCCAAATGGCGATCTACAAGTACAGGTACATCTAAGAGAGATACCCAGTAGTCTGGTCCAGCTAAACAATGTATAATTAAAGGATTAGCAGCGGTAAACGTGGAAAGGTAAATTAAAGGATTATTGTAGAAACTAGGTCATGAAGTTAGACATTATATTAAGGAAATTACATAGTAAGCAAGAGTGGCATCACTACACAGGCAGCAGTCTATCAAGTGTATGAGCAGGGTGAGTTACAGAATGATAGTAGTGGGACGGAAAAAAAGACTTGTTAGGATGTACTTAGCAGAGTCAAAATTACCTAACTTCTGCAAAACATGAAAGATTATGAAAGCACAATTGAAATTATTGTTACAGTACAGTTTTGAACGTTAGTAACTGAGAGGACTAAAAATACAAAGTCTAGAAATATAAGCAGAATAGTGATGAGACAGGACATTCACTTACTTTGCTGCATTTTTCCAGATAGTTCTTTGACTTTTCTAGGTATTTAATCATGCCATCCACATTTGCCTCCCCCCAGATTATTGCATATCTGGTTGTTTTATTAATTTTGGTGGCTAACATTTCCACCATCACCATCATCATAGTATTCAATAGTATTGGGAACACCCATTATCTTTGTCTTGTTCTTGATTTAAGCAGGAAAGTTCAGTTCAGTTCTCCAATATGTAAGATGCTGATTTTGAAATGGAAATGTGTGTGCATTTGTGCATGCACATGTATGTGTCATTGTATAATATAAATTGCATGTTGATAGTAAGAGAATATCCCTTGATTCTTATTCAATTGGGAAGTTTTATAGTTCTGCTTTCACAGAATTTATGCATGTGAAAATTCTAAGAGGATAAATCTTCTTTTTGATTGTTTTAAATTGATTTCTAATTTTATTTTATTTAGACTAAGAATGCTGTTTGTGTTATATATATTCTAATAAATAAGATAGCTAGTGAGTGACTCATGAGTGAGTAATATATACAAGATGAATAATTCATGTCTGCAGTAAGAGGCAACCAGATAGCAGGAGATTTTGTCATATTATGTGGAATAGATCACAGTTTTCAAACTAATGAATTGTTTATTTCAAGAATTTTCCATTTAGTATTTTCAGGTCTTGATTGACCACAGGTAACTAAATCCATGAAAAGAGAAATTGTAAATGGGTCGGGGGGAGGTAAAGAGTTTCTAGTATGCATTTGAAAGGTAATGTATTTTTTATTAATCATATATAGAATTTGTTTTATATTTATGTTTGTCTTATTTATTATATAATTTATATCTTGTATCTTTAATAATTTTTATAATCTTGATTTTTCTTGGATTATAAGGGATGTGTTAAATTCTCCAATATTAAGATGTGCTTTATATTTTCCTTTTTTCTCATCTCCTATATTCTGCCTTATAAAAAAATCATTAAATACTTGGTAAGCAAATATTATTAACTGTTACCTATCCATAATGAATGGTTCATTTTTCAAATAAATTCTAACAAACTGTACTCCAAGATTGCATGGGAGGAAGTTAAGACTGATTTATCTAAAATAATACCACCGATCGAAAAATTTAGAACTTTTAACTGAATATCCTATATATTGTGATAATTTCTACTTAAAACCTAGTGGCAGTACTGTAATGATAAGAGCAATCAGTATGTTTTGTCAGTACTTGAAAAAGTAGGGTATGATCAAATGGGGAACATATGTCTACCTATATTTTGAATGATAGGAAAAAACCGAGAATGGAGTTTTGATCTTATTTGAAAATAACTTTTTCTATAATATCTACTGTTGTAGTCAGGGGTTGTACACAGAGAACAATTCAGATCAGGACATGGAGTTTATAATGTTTTTATAATGATCACCAGAAGTTAACACAGGAGAATGCAGGAAATCTATCTGCAACACCAATGACATAGATTATTTAGTCAAGAGTCTAAACCCCAAGGCAATGTCCCACATGAGTCCAGATAAAAACCCAGAGCTCAGGACAATGCCTCCACGAGTCCAACTGGAAATCCAGAGCCCACAAGAAGGACTCACGCCAGTCTCTTTTATGGATCCATGCCGGGAAGACCCAAGGGTCAGTGGTGGAAGCCAGAAAGTCTATGCCAGCAGGATGAAGGAGCTGTGCTAGTGGGATGAGGGTTCTACACTGGAACCGAGAAGTCACACTCACAGCAAAGAGCAGGGCTGTCCTGAAAGGCACCACGGCTGTCCTCAGCGACACGGAGGCCCCAAGCTCCTTCGACAAGCACAGTCGGGTACATGCCAGGAAGCAGCATGACGAGTTCATGCTGGAGACCAGGCAGCACATGTCTTCCCCTCCGGAGCCAGGAAGCAATGCTCGATGTGAAGACCAAAGCTTCTCCAGGAGAACCAACAGCTCAGACAGCAACTAGTAGGAGAACCCACAATGTCTCCTTAATGCCTCAATCCCTCTCAACACCTCTCTTCTTCTCCACCTATTTATCCTGGCCTTCTCAGGTGGAGCATCTTCTCTCAATGCATGCTGATGTAATCCAGCTGGCATTAATTTGACCACTAGTTATCAAACCATAACATCTAAGGGGAAGGAAGAATAATAAGCCATTTTATGAGGAAACACTTTTGCCAGTGGACAGCTAAGCTTTTTTAAAAGGGTAGAAGTCTAATGAAATATGTTATTGCTAAGAGCCCAGGATATACTACACTATGGGAGGAAAGTTCTTGGAGCATGTTTTAAGTCTGGAACATTGGAGCATGTTTTAAGTCTGGAACATTAAGGATTCAAATTTGAAGTTTTCAGAATGATATTGTAAATTATAGTGTCCATTTGAGAAGAGTCAGTGTGTTTTGTTATAGTTTCCCATCTCTTTGAGTGCCCAGAATACTGAACTTTGCACATTATATATGCTCAAAAAGTTCCTAGCAAGAAAAAAAAAAATTCCTAGTGAATTGAAATACCCTTGAATCCATAAACCATAGTATTTCTGAAGAAATGTACATGTAAAAAAATGCATGCCATTCATAGGTAACAACTATTTTGAAGTGTAAGCTGGCAAAATGCTAAGGTGGAATGCTAAATTAGATATATAAGCCAAACACAGAGTATAGCCTAATGCTCACATTCCTTGCCTGGTGCCCTGTGTTACAAGTGATCATCTGATCTACTTGTATATAAATGTTTTTCCAAAGTCTCAGGCAGTCATATAGATGAGGCTTTTCAGAGGTGGCTGGATGTAAGGTGTTTTGAAGCTCAGATTACAAGTGTATGATTTCTAAATTAGTTCAATGATTGATTTACCATAGTTCTGCATTTGGATGCTAGGAAGACTCACCCTAAAAGGAGAGTAGCCTGGAAGGGATAAAAGGAAGAGGAGTCTGCTGCTTGCTACTCCCTGACTTCTACCTGCTATGCCATGAACTGTTTCTCCTCTGTGATGCCCCTCTGCCACGCCACCTTGCTATGGAGCCAGCCAACTATGGGCTGAAACCTCTACAAACTGTGAATTGAAACAAACCTCTTTCTTTAATTTTGGGTGTCGATATTTGGTCTCAGTGACAAGAAAAGTAACTAAGACATTCAAGAGACAAGTAACAACCCTGACAACCCTTAAGATTTTTAGGTCACTTCACTGTCACAACCATGTACGTGCTCAATAGTTAAACAATTTCTTAAGAAGTGATAGAACAACCAACTGATAGACCAGCTGAAAAATGATTGCAGTAGACTTTGTTGTAGGTAGCAGTAGTGATATTTTGTTTTTAAAGATATTTGTTTGGTTAAACATGTATGTAGTCAGTCAAGACTATGTCAACTGCAATAATTTTAGGAGATCTGTGCTTGTAAATCTATTTAAAAAGAAATAGAGAAGTTAGAACAAAACAGTCAAACGGAAGGGAGAACATTTTTCTGGGTAGCCCATAACCAAAACCAGAGTGCCAGGAGGAAAGGAGGCTTTTTGCATAAACACATGTTTTCTATGTTTTAGGCACTATGGGCTCCTCTTACCACTTAGAGAAAATTGAGGGTTCACTTTTTCAACCAAGTTCCCATGTGGCCCAGGGGCCAACCTCACAAGCAAACCTTTCTAGGGACAGAAGCCTTAGCCCTGTTACACTTCACAAACTTAGGCTTTCAGGTCACTTTATTTTTTTTTAAAGTTTCTCCAAGAATGATTCTTATGACACATATGGAAATATAAGAATATAACTTTTGTCCCCATACATTTCCTTCATTTATTTTCCTTTATTTCTTACATTAAATTGCCTACTTGGCCCAGAGCCATTGAAATGTAGCTAATTTGTTCAGTGGACTATAGGATGCTGAAAGAAGCCTGGGCCACAGTGTCAGCCACAATGTCAGCCTTTCTATAGAATTTTATCAGCAGCTTACATTTCATACTTTCATCTTCCCATCATGTCAGTTTTACATACAAGTTTTTCACTCTGGTTCTTTTTTCCTTTCTCAGGACGTCTTTTCTCACTTGCTTTTTGAGCAGAATCATAATTTTCATATTCAGAATATCTTAAAGATTTCTACAAAACCTAGGAAAACAGCCCCATTCTGTTTTTCAGTAGAAGAGTATTGTTTTTGTTATTTTTGTTTTAATCCTAATTTCTACTAATATAAAGTCAATTTTTTGTGCAGCTTGCTGTGTTACTCACTTATTTTGCCCTGTTGTATGATGCTTTTACTCTGCCTGGTGTTCACACCCCTTGCCTTCTGCCTTGTGTTACCAGGGACCGTCTGAGTTCCTACTTGTATGTGAACTTGAGTGGATACATTGCTTTAGCTTCTTGACCTCAAGTTACCTGCTCAGTCTTAATGTTCAGTCTTCCATTTCAACGCACATACTAGAATTGGATGGGAAATGTTTTTATTGCTTCTCTTTAACCAGTGAGCAACTTCATGGCTGTATCAGCTTATGTGACATCTGCAAAGGAAATAAATGAAGCAAAATCTATTATAGTTAGATCATGGCTGTATCAGCTTTTGTGACATCTGCAAATGAAACAAATGAAGCAAAAATCTATTATAGTTAGAGATATTCATTTTATGAACCTATTGCCCTTTTCGTGTCCCATGGTATATATGTAAAGCTGAAAAGAATTTAAAATTACTGTATAATGTAGGGTGAGAAAATTATGTATGAACTCTTAATTACTGAAGATAACTTAAAAAGTCAGTAACCCATAAGTAACTTTATTACTTAATAACCTTTTTTTTTGGCAGAATCTCACTGTGTAGTTCTGGATGGCTTTGAATTCACGGTGTAGTCCATGCTGGCCCAGACTCATGGTAATCCTCTTGCCTCAGTTCCTGAGTATTGGTATTACAGGTGTGCACTACAACAGCTTATTGCTTGGTAACTTTAAACAAACCGTACAAAGTATCTGAGATCTGTTCTTAAAAAAAGTTATTTTAAAACAATTCGTTAGGTTTTAGCTTCCGGGTACTAAAATATGTTGTTTTTTGCACTTCTGTGAATCACTATTATACGTCTATAAATTCTTATATTGGAAAAAAGTATAAATATTATTTAAATGTTGTGAATATACTATTAAAGTTGAAATTCTTAAAACACAAACCCTGCTTAGATTGTTGATAATCATGTGTCATACTGTGGGAGTCAGTTATGAAGTGGGTGATATTCTAGAAGAGGGTGAGGAGGAAAAGAACTTGTGACCTGGCATAAGATCTGCTAGTAAATGCCAAGAAAATACTTTTGCCACTAGCGCTGATTTTACAGTCCATGCAGGCTTAGTGTCCAAGTCATGCAAGAACAGTTGCGATTCAGACAGCAATCTATATGAAGTCTGAGTTAAACATGAACTCAGTGTGTACATCTATGTTGTTCCTTTGTATCAAACATGGTTTACTGAAGTTATCATAGTTAGTACATAGTAAATTTTGTAAAAGTTTTCCTAGAAGAGATTCAAAGTGATTCCAAAACAAATGACAGTCCCTAGAAGAAAGCAACATATCTCTTCATTATTTTCAAGTATAGATAAAGAATTTAGTCAGCTGACAAACTAAATTTCTTCATTTTATCCATTTAGCTTTTTGTTCTAAATGTAGATACAGAGAGGGACTGCGTGATACTTGCACAGGTGACATTTGCCACAAAAATCTCTCTTTTAACACCTTAAAGGAAACTTATAATTCTTCTGTGAAGCTTAGAGTCCATATTATGGAAGCAAGAATTATTTCTTCTGTTTTTAACAAATTTTAAGTTATTAAAGGATTTGGGAGGGAGTTTTTTTTTAAAAAAATACAGTATGTTGATAATGAAGATCTGAGAATATATTTGACTCTGATTCATAAGAGAATAATCCAGGATTGAGAAACATAATAGAAGTAATATTCAGGCATTAGGAAGATGCATGATAATTAAAGTATGTACATACAGGCTCCTACTGATCAAACATCAGTAGCTAGTCATGCAAGACTCCAGGGTACTATACTGAATAATTTGGCTGAATTTTGAAGTGGAGACCAGGAAAGATTCTCATCCTACCTAAATGGGGATAACAGGGATGCTAAGAGAATGGTATGGCAAAAAAAAAACAAACTGTGGGAGCTCAAAAAGCAAAGCTGTCACTGGCTGGGCTCCAAGAGCCCAATTAAGGATCTTTGCTTAACTGATTTCTAAGGCATAAGGGTACTGATGCTGTTAAAATATTCCTTGATGCAGTCAGAATTGAACACATAGCTGTGAAACTGACTCCGTGGGTTGGAGGAAGATGGGGAAGTCATCCATCAGATACAGAATCCTAAAAAATAGGACCAGAGAGAAGATGCGGAGGTGGGAAGACATTAAATAACTTATTTCCATTTTAAAGCAAAACATCCCTGATTAGATTTTATAAATGAGTCAGATTTCAAAATCTGTTGTAAATCAAAAAAATTTACAAATCTAGAAAACATACCAATAAAATGAATTTTTAGCTCTCCCAATTCTAAAATTTATCATTTTTAAAATATGCTTTGAATATCTCATTGTAATATTTAAGTTACTCTATAATCACTCAATGAATGTCATCTAAAAGTTAAAAAGTTTTCAAGTTAAAATAGTTCCCTTATATTGAACTATTCCAACTACACATAACATAGAGCATCCTTAGTATGTCTTTTTGCTCACCAATAAAATTTACTATATATAATATGTAATTACACATTTAGTTGTATCTAGGTATATAAACTGCATATCATAATGTGGAGTAGAGACTCAGAAATAGTACCTATTTTTATCATCAGTCTTAAAGTTTTTATCATTGCTTAAAGTCCTATTTTTATCATTGCTTAAAGTCAAGCAATTTTATCAAAAATTTTTGAAAGTAAAACTGTATCAATAATCAATATCATGGCTATACACTGTCTCTAGTAATTTTATGTAATCATTGCATTTGGATGGAAAAGAGCATTGAGATAACTAATGATTAAAAGTTAATGCTATCAAAATACGAAGAGATTGTCTGAGACAGAAATAAAGTTTTAGATTTTAGAGTTCAGTGTGAAACGTTGAGTTTGCCTATACATATAAACATAGTGTTTACAGTTTTCTGTTACCAAAAGTAAAACAATGACAAAAAAATGACAGACCTAAACCCTGAGTGAGAAGAGGAAAATGGGGATATGGAAAAAAAACATACGCAGGAAGAAAATTATGTTTCCAGGAACCGACAGGATTAGGATCCCATCAGGATAGAAGTCACAGTCTCCAGTTTTTGGGAGACTATTACTCCAGCACTGCACAGTGACAGAAGAGACTGTCACAAATATATTGCCACAGTTAGCCCCTCCCTTCTACTCTGATCCCTGCCTAAAAGCAGACCAGCAACCAGAGCTGCACTATGACTATCATCTGACCTGTCATGTCTGCTATCCTTTTTCTGATTGATCTACTGCTGGAAAAACTCAATATTCAAGTTCAAGCCCCTGTCTCCCAAGCTGTAAAGCAAAGATTAAATATAGTTGAAATACTAAATAACATAGAACAAATACCTAAAGAACAAAAAGAGAGTGATTCCCTAAGCTGTTCTCTCCCATTTCTCCTATGACAGAAGCTCTGTGGCAAGGATTTGATCTCTTGAGTGGATTAAGCTTATTAAACATCATTTCTAAGTTAGCTGTTGTATACTTAAAAGCCTACTTTGTGCAAACATTGTGCTAACCATTTAATTTCATTCAGTGAGTAACAGTCATGTGCTGCAAACATGCTAATAAAAATTAAAATTTTTATTTTATGATTGCTTTATTGCTATGGAACACTACTAATGTTCTAAGTTTAAAATGAAGATGCCCCCAACTCTACAGTTAAGTGCAAGCTGTATTCTGGAACAGTGTCCTTTAATTTGTATGGCTTACCCATAGCATTAAATTAAAATACTTGAAGAATCCAAGAATAAATAGACAAACTTCAAAGTAACAGTCATTACAGAGGCTAAAATGAAGTTGCTGGTCAAAATTGCTTCAGCTATATTGAGGGTACATTCTTAAATTTAGAATTCAAACTGGTAGAATGACAGTATCTGGAGAAATTCAGACAGGCCTTGTCTTGGTTACTTTTCTCTCATTGCTGAGACAAAATACCAAATGCCCAAAATCCAGGAAGGAAAGGTTTATTTAGCTCACAATTTATGGAGGTTTTAGGCCAGACCCATCTGGCTCCAAGGTAGAGTGGCACATGGTAGAAAAGCAACAATTTATGGCAGCAGAAAACAGAAAAAATCAACAATTGCAAAAGGGAACGAGTACAGAGAAAAGATTTTCTGTCCTTTATTGTTGTATGTAGGCCACCTGCATTGCTAGGTTGGGTATAGCACAAATATGCATAATCCCAGCATTGGAGTATGAATTAATCACAAATTCTGGAAGCCTGCTCCCATGACTACATGAGGCTTTGGTGGGACATCCAGACTCAAACCATAAGAGGCCTCCCAAAATCTCCTGGCAAACAGATTTAAAGCTTCACAAAGCAACTTTCATTAAGGAACTTATTGAGAATCATTTTCCAGTTAGAACGAATGTGAGAAATCTGGAGTCTATTTTTTCTAAGATACAACTTTCTTAAACCTAAGCATTTATGCACACACGCGTGCATACACACACACACACACACACACACACACACACACACACACACACTGTGACTGCCTACCTCAGTAGTACAAGACTACAGCACTGCTTGGATAAGGCCCTGAATATGTATGGATCTTGTGAACAGAGCAGTAAGTGTCAGAGCTATGAGGCTCAAGAAGGAAATGAAAATCATGGTGTTTTCTTGGATGAAACAAAAAGCACCCTAACCAAGATCTGGTAACCGGAAATGTCTCCATTGCATTAGAATCTTTGCCATAAAACTTCTGCTACAAATGTCATTCTCTGGGTAAGAGATAGTAATTGTGGGTAGGTTTTCCTTTCCATCTGTGGAAATTCATAGCAAGAAAATTAAACTTTCTGAAAGTTCTTTTTCAATTAGCATCTTTTGCCAATCTGTTGAATAAAAATCCCTCCCCCTACACTCAGATACTGAGTTTCTGCAGTAGTTCAATACTAATCTGAGGTTGGTTGTATAATTTTTCCTGCGATAACTTCCAATAGCAGGAAATTGGCCTCTTTTTTTTTTTTCAGTATTGGATGGGTGTGGTGCCAGGGGTGTTGGTAATTTTATATCTTTTCAAACTATTTAATAAGGAACAACAAAGACTCAGCAATAAAGTATTACTTCTGGTACCTTCACATACTAGTATTTCTTTCCCATCACTAGAACACCTCCAATCCACCACAATTTAAAGAATTAAAAGAGAAGTTTATTTTAGCTCACAGTTTCAGTGGAGTCAGTCCATAGTTGGCTAGCTTCCAGGCATAAATGGCATGGTGAAAGAGATAGCAGAGAAGATCCTTTTGCCACATGGCAGCCAAGAAGCAGAAAGAGAAATGAGGAGCTTGGTCATACTTCTAGTGATTCATCCCTTCCACAGACCCCATCTGCTCATAGCATGTTCAGCTATGTGTTCCTCAATAGATTAATCTACTAGCATCACAATTATCCAATCTCTTTCAAAAATATCCATTTTAGATCTAAACCATAGCAATATTAAAGTTACTCAAATAAGAAATTAGTATGGGGAGTATTGCCAGGATTTTAACTCTATTTTGTTTCCGAGAATCCATCTGAATAAGACTAGTTTCTGTTTTCTGTAAGATACAGGATTCTTAAACCTAATCAATTCCCTAAGAAAAGACAATGCCCACAGCCTTTGTGGTATAAGGTAAAAATGGCTTAGGGTCCCTCTAAGGCAGTACAGAATAAGAAATAAGGAAAAATATGTTTGTATTTTAATCTAGCTTAAGTGTTTTTCACTTGAGTAACTCAGAAGAGCAAATGGATCTGATTTTGAACTCTGAATGCTTTATACATTGATGTACCGAGAAATGTTTTCCTTTTTTAAAAAAAGTAAACTCAATAACATTCAAAGTCTGCATAAGAAATGTTTATGTATCTTAACAAATTATTATAAAGTAATTAAGAAGATTTGAGAAGTTGGGCATTTTTTTTCTTTTCAATCATAGCTTATATCCCATAAAGTTACCTACTAACATGAAAAGTAAACACTAACATGAAAAATAAACATAAGTATATATCCCTAAACATAACTGTTCCCTTCTATTTTTAAACAAATGTCATATAAATGAAATTATAAAGTAGTTTTGGGACTACAGGGAATTTCTTTCCCCAAGATAATGGTTGTGAAAGTCATACATGTAGAGTTGTGGTTTGTATCCATAACCAATAGGGTACCTAGGCATGGTGCATTGATGGCTTGGGTAAGCTGAAACCAGATGATGTCCACTCAGCTGCTGCAGCTGTTCAGCCTCAGTGCCAACAATGCAGAATTGACAATGAATATTGTTGTTTTACTTGGTGGGTGGAATTTAATTTCATTCTCATAGTTCTAGTCGATAATCCCCTTGATGAACTTTGTTATATTTTTTTGATACTGGAGCTCTGGCTCTGTTTTGTCTGACACTTGTAAACCTGCTGGAAAATTAAATTTGCTCCTTTATGAGTCCACAAACTGGCATCAAATCACAACTACAACTTGAACCATCTGGGTGATTCATGTAGCTTCCCATGGTAAGAGTCCATAGAAGAGAAAGAAATGAGACCAGGACAGGCTGCTGACTTATTCTATAAATACTACTACTTAGATTTATCACGTACTGAACATAGAAGCATAACCTCCATCATACACTGAGACAGGCAAGAGATTCTATATTTTTGATAAAGAGATTTCCACTTCCTCAGGCATGTAACTCTTGGCTGAAGCTGAGTTGTCTATCTTCTAGTAAGTGTCCTGGGGTGTGTCCCTGCTCACTTCTGATAGAATGGCTACATCAGACCATTGACACTCTCCTGGGGGTGTGTGTGGTGCTTCACCGCTGTTAACATTTTTTTCTGTTTATGATAGTGTTTTCCAAACTTGTCTTGGTCTTCTTTTGCTGCTATAAAGGAATAATACAGACTCGTAATTCAGACTGCCCAGAAATGTATTTCTTAAGTCCTGGATGCTAGAAAATCCAAGGTCAAGCCACTGGAAGTTTGGAGTTTGGTAAGAGCCCAATCTCTGCTTCCAAGAAGGTGTCATGGCTGCTGCCTTCTCAAGAGGATCTCTGTTCCTCATATAACACAAGAACTGAAAAGCCAAGAGAGAACTCACTACTAAAAATCCTTTTATTAAGGCTTTAAATCTACTGCTGAGGTTGGAGCCATCATAATCTAATCATCTCTTAAAAACTTCACCTCCCTATCCTATTATCAAATTAAATTTCTACTTAACTCTTAGAAGCTCAAGCATACAGGCCATAGCACAATATAATCATGGGACAGTTGTAGCACCTGGAACTAATATATGTCATCTGTTCATCTTTCTGGATGATTTTTAGGCTGACAATTGAATGTTTTTTAACACACCAGCTAAACTTTGTAAAATTCCTAATGCATAATCTTTTTCTGAACATATCACAATCTGGAAGACTTGCAGGTTTGTTTCTGTTGTTTGTTCTGTCTCTCATTCATATTGTGATGTCCTTTTCGTATGTTTATTTTTGAAATCAAAGCTAAACATATTTGAAAAATAGGTACAGAGACAATTTGAGACCTAGAATGTATTTTCCTCCAGAGAGCATTGTTTGTTTCTTTCTGTCATATGCTTATATGTACCAGTAATCTTGAGTCATCTTAACCCAGTTTCAGGGATTGCAGCTTTCTTGGCCACATGAATTGCAGTTATTGAAGAGCTAACTTATTGGGAGCTATTTACTCTAATGAATATCAGATATAATGTGTAGCATTTTATTTTGCCAGGGTCCCCAATCTTGGTAGGCCTTGTACTTTGACTTTTTTTTTTTTTTCTTTTTCCTTTTTATCGGTACCAGGGATTGAAATCATGACTGCCTGCTTACAAGGCAGGCGCTTATGCCACTGAGCTAAATCCCCAGCCCTGTACTTTGACTTTTATTTCCTCCTTTGCAAAGAAACTGAAGAATTATTTCTATCTCTTATCATCTATTCTTATAGGCAAATATTCCTAAGGCAAATGAGGTTCCAAACTCCATATTCTCTTCTCTAGATTTACTCTAGTCTTAGATTCTGGTTCTAATGATTTCTTTCTTCCTTCATAGTTTGATGATGCTACTAGAAAGTGGTTTTATACTTCATCTAGCAATTTTTCTTTTCTCCAATGGGAAATTTGTTCTGAATTAACTAACTTGCCATTATCAGAAGCCAGGGTAGATATATTTCTCATTGTAGTTCTTTGCCTTCACATTGGACTTCATCTCCTGGCTTCCAGCGCAGACTCTTCAGCCTTCCATCACAAAGCTCTTACTTCCCAATATGGACTTGCATGGGACACTGCAGTGAACTCCAGACCTTTGCCTGAATCCTTTGGTCTCCAGTGTGCAGACACCCTCTGCACACTTCCACATCTACGCTGTCAGTGGCGATAGTAAACCGATCTTGTAAAGTCTTACATATTTGTAGATCTTGTGTTTCATCTGTTTCTCCAGTAAACAATACAACTATGTTACTGTGAAGGTAGCAAATGTTCTCACCTTCCTAGAAAGTCACCTCATTCTCCATTTCAGTGAAACCTCCTGCCTCACTTCATGCCCATCCATGAGTCATTTAGATTTTTACTATCCCAAGATATTCATATAAAATATATAGTATGCACTATTTTGCTGTACATGTTCTTAAAACTCATCCATGTCTTAAAGAGATCAGTAGCATTCTTTTTATTGTTAAACTGTACTATACTATTAAAAATACCTTTAATCATTTCCTTGTGATGGAGATTTCAGTTGTTTCTGGTTTCAGTTTTTATGGTTATCTGTTAGGAGTATTCTCAGAATTGATCCTTTGAATTTTAACTTTTATAGGAAATGAGAGGACATTAATATTTAAATTTAAGGCATATCTGTGCTATTGGAGTTTCTTGCCCAAGCTACCCACCAAACTTTATTTTCCATCTTAGCCCTTGCTGGTAAGTTTTTCTTATTTTAAATTTAATTCATTTAACAAATTCTTATAACACATTTAGTATTGCTAGACACTAGTTTTAAACATTAACTTATTCTGAAACACATGTGATATTTATGATCAGTATTCACGTTTCAGAAGTGAAGAAACAGAGGTGCACAAATGCTAATTAAGTTTCTAGATCACAGAACAAGAGATAGGAGAGTTAAGACTTGCACCAAAATCTCTGGATCCAGAGCTAGTGCTGCCTCTCAGGAAGTGGTCATAGGTACACAGTGAATATCCATCCACAGCATGCTCTCAAATAACCTTAGAATACACAACTAGGCCCATTAAATGTGCTACAGATGCTTTTATTATACAACAAAGATGAGCAAATAATATGTGCTTGTTTGAGTGCAAGTTTGTTAAACTGAAGAGACTCACACAAATGAAAGATAAAGGAAATAATTTAAACACTTATGAACCCCGATCAATTCCTCATTAATGTTTGCTCCTTTATGCAGAGTGATCATTCATTTTCTCTGTACTTGAGTTGCAAAATCCATAAAAAAAATATATGATGGGATTAAGGGTGTCCTTATCTTGCCAGTAGTATCCTCTGTACTCTTTGAAGTCAATCTGCTGTAGGCACTTACAAGAATGCATGCATTTCATTTTATGGACCTCACTATCATGCATATTTGTCTTTGTCTTTGCAAAATATTTTAAAGCTCATGAAAACCTTTAGTGATATTACAGACTAAGGCCAGGTGAGGGAGCTCTCCCAAAAATACTGCGTAGAGTTTTACCAAACGGAGCCAGGAGACAGTTTCTATATAAAAGTGAAGAGAAAATGAAACTAGAGGAAAAATTGAGCTTGAAAGTTTTGTTCAAATACTGAGAAAGACAAAGAGAAAATATAAATGGTAAATTAATGCTGAGATTGGTCTTTATAAAAAGACCTTTGCTTGAATTTTTGTTGCTTTTCATTGTTTTTAAAAAGTGTAACAAATTGAAAAATTCAGAGAAAATCTGTGGCTAAATAAATCAGAATATTTTACTTTTTCCAGACTTGAGCTGAGTCAGCTGATATCAAGTTTAATATCATGAAAGCACAGACCTCAACCATCCTGATCACTATCATGTCCCCAGGGTCCAACAGTGCTTGATACACAGTAAGTGCTCACACACACGTGTGTGTGTGTGTGTGTGTGTGTGTGAGTGAGTGTATATATGAAGGAGTCATACATTGACCTGCAAAGCAAAAAGGGTGATTATTACTACCCGTACATTTCGAAGGGGTGGTAATTAAATTAGAGGGATTAAGAACCTTGCAGAAGCTCACACAGCTCTTAACAGGAGCATCTGGGAGTTCCACATGGCTTCTGTATGTGTTTTTCTGAAGAATTTGCTACAGCATCTTCTGCAGACATCGCTTGCATAGCCTGTGGTATGCACCATTATTGGGGACCTGGCCTAGATCCACAATCTCCCAAACAAGTGTATGGTGAAGGTGTAAATAAATGAGATAAGTGTTATGATTTTAGGGCTCCAGGAGGATCAAAACCCTTCTGTAGAGTTTAAGACTCTGAGAACTAAGACATAGAATGTCTCTGGGCAGCCCATGTTTATTATTATTATTATTATTTTCAAACAACACAGGAAACTGAACTGACCTTGTGAGTGGTTCAATGACTTTGCCGAGTAACAGATTATATTTAATTTAGGAGAACTATCTTATGTTAATTTTGAAGTATTGTAGGAGAAGATCTCCATGTTGCATTTCACTACAGGAGTGAAATGCTTGTAGCTAGTCTTTATTTAGTTAATTGGAGTTGGGGCCAAGTGTCTCGGCTGAGACCTTATGCTTACCCTTTGAAGCAATCCCTTTGTTCTTGGGTCAGCTGGGCCATGTCCCGGCCATGCCACAGCCCTGCACATGTGTTCAATTTCCAGTTTCAGTGGCTCCCAACACAACGTCATTTGCTAGATGCTCATCAGACTGAATGCCTTGGCTTTAGGGTAGACATATAGATTCCACTGTCTTCAATTCCCTGCTCTGCTACTTTGGTTAATTCATGAGCTGAATTAGGGTCACACTCATATATAACACAATGTACTTTGTCATCATTTTTATTGTCATTGACATTATCACATTTTTCATGTAAGATTTTGTAATCCCAGGACCTCAGTTTCTAAATTTGTTTATTATAGTCTTTCTTTCACTTGCTCTTGCCCTTTCTCTTATTTTATTTTCTTTCTTTCTTCCTTTCTCTCTCTCTCTCTCCCTCTCTGTTTCTCTCTCTCTCTCTCTCTCTCTCTCTCTCTCTCTCTCTCTCTCTCTCTCTCTCTCTCCCTCTCTCCCTCTCTCCTCTTTTTCCATCTCTTTTCCTTTCTTTTCTTCCTTTCTTCTTTCCTCCCTTGTTTCTATCTTTCTTTCCTTTGGTACTAGGGGTTGAACTCAGACCTTTGTATGAGCTACATCTTCACTGTTCACTGTTTTTTATTTTGAGTCAAGGTCTCCCCTAAGTTGCTATGTTGCACCAAATTGGTTTAAACTTGCTATCTTCTGCCTCAGGCTTCCAAAGTGTGGGAATTACAAGTGTTTTCCACAACACCAGTTTCAGAACCTTTGTTTCTTAAAGTGGGAGCTGTGGATGTCTGTCTCTGAGATAATCTTAATTTCTAAAACTCACAAATTTTCCATCTTCTTAAAGTAGCTAAAACTGTTGAATATCTTTGTCCTGGGACTTGGTTAAAGTACAAAATATTTTAAAAACATTTCTGATGCCAAGTTTCCTAGAAAGTTATAGCACTCCTTCATATCCTCAGGCAGAGTGTCGTTTGTTTTATATGTGACACTAGTTATGAATTCTAGTTACAGAAATGACCACATTTTCTGATGCCAGTGGGAAGTCTGATGGAGATCCTTTATATAAGGATACATATCAACAATGGGCAGTGAGTGCAATACCATTTATTACACAAATGAGTACATGAAGGATTCTAATCTAAAAAACTCGAATAGGAAGCAGTAGAAGTCATTACAATACAGCAAATATTTGATGAGCTCTGACCTTGTGGCAGTGAAGAACTTTATGTAGATTATTACATTTAAACCACACAACATGTAAGGTGGATATTTTTATTATGAGCATTTTTGTAGATGAAGAAATTGAAGCACAGGGAGCTTATCAATTCATTTAAAATTAGTTAACATTGGTAGAGGTAAGACTTGAACTGATTTCTTAGTACCCTGAGTAAGATACCTAATATTAGAGGAAAATCAGATATTTAATATCCTTTCTTTTTTATTTAAAGAGAAAAGAAAAAAAAAGTGAAAGGGTACAAGTTATACAGATTTACAGAAGAAAAAAATGAACAGTAGGAAATCACTAGTTAATGGATTACATATTGCCATCTTAAAAATAATTGTTCAAGTCACAAAATTAAAGCTTGTAGAGTGGACATTCCAACAATGATACTGCAAACAGTTCTGTTCAATGATCCAATAAAACTCTGTGATATCATTTTCTTATACACTTAAATATACATGCAGTTATATAGTTTAGAGCACTTTCTTTTCCTCTCTTTTGTACAATGACTATTACACATTTTGGGTTTCATTGCTCCCACGGTTCTTATTGCTTTTTTGGAAGAGAGTAAAACCAAATGAGACATAACAGGACAGAATCGGTCAAGTCAAAAGGGTGGACATAATAGATAATATAAAACCATAATACAAGGTGATCAACAATGGTTACCATAATGCCTCCCGCTATCTCTAATAGAATTGCCTATATCATTAGTTATAATACAATTGAACAAAATAGTAAAGAACAAAACCGACAAAACCAAAACATTGGAGACATTGTAGGTCTTCAAAAGTAGATAAAAGTCAATAAGAATGGGCGATAGTATAAGCAAAAACCTTTTAAAGACAAGGAGATTATACAGAAACCATTGTTCATTTTCCGTTAGTCAATTCTAAATACTCTGTAATGCTGTCATTCTCTTAAATGGTTTTACATTGTTTTGATATACTTAATGCTACAGTATATGAAGTTGTACTCAAGGACTTCAAGGAAAGAGTCAATATGGTAACTACTTTTAGGTCGGAATTATCTGGTGGTGAAACACTATTCTGCTTAAATGGTTATGTTTTGATCTGCGCTGTTTTGCTGTTATGCCCTCTTTTTTCTCAATCTCCACTCCATTATTTACTTTTTTATTTTTATCCGTTTAATTAAAAGGAAAAAAATAGCAGGATATAATATAGTAACCCACTTTGACTTTCTATTATCTCGATTTGAAGCCCTGTATTAATATCCTTTTTACATACTATTTTATCTTATTAAGCCTAACATTATAAAGGCAAAGCCAACTCATTTTCTGTTCTACAAATTGGTGGAAGAATGGGCTTTGTCTCCATCTCACCTAGATGTAGTGAGATAAAGGAGAAGCAAGTGATCCAGATTCTGAGTGCCCCAAATAGGAGACACATCGGGATTTATATTTCTGCCTGCAGATGTGAAGATAGTGAGAGGATACACTATGACTATTACCAAATTAATGCATGAATAATAACTTTTTTCTCTGGGCCAAGGACCAGCCAGGTTGGGTGGCCCACTGGAAAGCAGCCCTCACAGCCTCCATAGACATGCCTTGATACTTTTTTGCTAATTTTCTAAGCAACGGGAGGAGGTAGGAAGTGGGCTCTAAAGAACAGTACATAGTAAACTGTAGAAATCATTGGGAAAAGGTGAATATGCAATGACATCATAAAGAGTATTTGATTTGTAAGTGTAATCAGAATATGTTAAAATATTTTTTCTCAAAAATTTGTAATTGCAATTAAAAAAAAATAAATTCAAAAGAAAAACACACAATGTGGTACCCATGTTGTTAAAGAAACTATAATATTTGGATCTGGATAGGATCATTCACAGACCCCAAATTTACTAGCTAATTGGCCATGTTTCTGGGTAAATGATACATTTTTTTTTCATGGTAGCAATGATAACTATTAATTTCTAAAAGTGTTAAGAAATATTAAGCAGCCATGATAGGCGTGCTTGATATCTTTCACTTCTAACATGGTCTTATGCTTTATATCTGGAATGCATGGCATGGAAAAAGTTTCTCTTTGTATATGTAGTTAGTTAAAATGAAACGGCTGAAACCATTTCTTAAAAATCATGAGTGGAGACCCCTGGCTTTTGGCCACTGAAATACACTGTTTGGCTAAAGGCTAGTTGTAAGCTATCTATGGCTCAAACAGATTCCGGGAAGGAGTCATGGGGAGTGGTAAAGTGGAAAGACAGTGGTTACTCTGTGCCATGCGACTATTTCAGCATTAACATTTGAACAGTAACCTGAGAAGAGTTACAGTCAGAAACACCTGGGTAGGATAACAGTATTTCCACTTTAAGAACTATAATCTTATGCAAATTGCTTACCTTCTGTGGTCTGTTTTCTGCTAACCAGGAGAGATAATGATATAGTATTTCCTAATTCGTTATTAAGGACACTAGAAAATACAAATCTATCAGGTTTTTTTCTGTACTAGTGAGAAAAATCCTGCACTCAAATTGATTTTACTATTGATATCAAGATAAATAATTTATTAATTTATCTTAATGTCAAATTCATATTACCATCAAATCCAGCTGCTTCAGATACAACTAAATCCAGGTGTTCAAATGACAGTTCCATGATGCTGCCTTTCCAAATTTTGAAGGCCCTTTCCTTTGTCCTGGTCTAACTTCTAGATAAGCTATTTGCTGTTATCAATAGCTCCTAGAATCTTCAAGCTCAGGAAAGTATCTCTGCCTCCCTATGAAGAGTACCTTTCATAAATTCCATCAGAAATCCCAAAGATGTTTTGCACTGGCCTAGTTTAGGCAAGTATCTTTCACCATGGGAGGGAGATAAACGAATAAAGTTGGGCCAGGTATGAACCTTTAAAGAAATGTGGGGTTTGAAAAACTAAAAACCAAGCCAATACAACAAAATAAAATCAACAACTTCATTGTAATAAATAAAATGTCTAGAAAAGTGTCAGGCACAGATCAGGTATTTCACAAATTTATAATTAAAAATAGAACTAGGTTTTTAAGCCATCAAAAATACAAAGCCGCTAGCTTGTTACCAGTTTTCCTGGACCACACATAAAGAGACTACACCATTTACCCCTGGGAAATCTCTAGTCATGACAGATGACAACAGTGATGTTTGATATAACTGAATTTTTGAAATAGAGACTATTCTGCATTATAAGAGAATAAAACCAAACAAAATTAAACAATAAAGCCAATCAAAACAAAACAGTAAAAGCGATAGAGGACTTCAAAAGAAAATTATAGGAAATCAACAATGGCTGCCACAATATCTCTTGTTATCTTCAAAATAGCTGTGCATACCATCAGACACATTAAAATCAAACCAAATAAAACAGAAGGAAACCAATCAAAACAAAACAGTGAAAACAATATAGGATTCCAAAGTAAGATAATAGGAAATCAACAATGGCTACCATAGTGCCTCTTGTTATCTTTAAAATAACTGTCCATACCATCAGGCCTAATAAAATCAAACAGAACAGAATAAAACCAACCAAAGTAAAACACTGAAAGTGATACACAGAGAAAACCAATGATTTCTCCAAAGAAGGTGAATGTAGTCTAAGTTAATGACAGTTTTTTAAATACTTTTGTATGGCTTATCCTAATGCTAGAAGAAATTGTTCCATTATACTGGAAATATGAGTAGAGGCCAAACAGGCATTTATTCCCATCTGGTACAATCAAACAGAATAGCTCTCATCCAAATTATCCCCAGCAACAACATAAAGTGTAATTATGATGGTTGACATCCCTATAAGAATAAATACTTCCTCAAAAATTAAGGATATTTAATGAACCTGTGAGCCATAAGAACTTATAAGTGTTGTTGTTCATGAGAGACCATGTTGTTTATGACAGAAACATGATATCATTATGTGTGAGCACATCAGGAATTATGACAATGTGCTTTGTTTTACCTTTATGAAGTGTCTTTTTCCATGAGTGTGTAGCTTTTGGATAAGTAAAAGTAAATTAGAACCTACCAAATAGAGAGAAGGCTAAATTCAGTAACTTAATTTCCTTTAAGAACTTCAACTTGAAGAATAAGCATTTGTTTTTATTTAAAATTCCCATGAATAAATGTCTAACTCATTAGCATATTTTAAATATCGAAGGGTTTCATTTACCTTTATTTTTTCTCAAGAGCTGTCACAAAAACAAAACAAAACAAGAGGGTTATATATGGTGACTTAAGTGCAATAATAATTTGAATAATTTTCCTTTTTATTTGATTAGTTAATACTGATCTTCACATTTATGAGAAAATGATTTTTCTCAATTTGCTTTCACTGAGTATTAACAACTCTCAGTAACCCAATTGTAGTCCTAGGAAGATGTTTGTCCTATTGTTAGAAAAGTGTCCTTGTGGGGTTTTTTTTGGAGGGGATTATGTCAAGATTTTAAGAGACAATTAGCACCTTTATATTTCTATGAGAGAATAACATCATACGTATTTAAAGATAAGTGGTCATTTGAGTCGAGCCACCATATTTCACTTTTGTTAAGATTTAGCAACAAGAAAGCATTAATAACATGTAATTTTTTGGACATTCCAATCACATAAATTGAAATTTAGGGTCACTACTTTAAATAAGTCAAAAAGTACAGACTTAGAATTTCCAGTAATGAAGTTCTTTCTGTTATGAGAATTGAAAGGCTAATCTGGTCACATGTGAAAGGCATGATCGTATTCGAACTCTAAGTATCATGAAATTTAAGTCCCTCACATGCGCCCCCCAAAATGCCAACTTATGTAATATAATACCATGGGATACTAAAAGAGAAGGATAACAAGAGACATGAAAGGAGACAGAGAGAGATCCCAGAAGATGCCATCATAGCAATTTCTGCCATCCCTGTGTGATAGTTAAAGACAGCAGAAAGGCAACAAGAGGAGGAAACCACAGAGCCGTTCTTTGGACATTGCAATAAAGGTTCGTCCTCTTGATGCTGATGTCCTGGCTCCCATTCTGTTATCTTATTTAATAATGGGTTAAACATCACCAGTGAACTCTCTCTGTCCAGAATTCACATCCTCTACTTTTTTCTGATCCTTAAATTCTTAGTCATTTGACCTCACTTTAAACATGGTGCTTTTAATGTGCTGACTTTTGACTCCTTTATTCTGTTTCCTCTCTCTTGCTTCACTGCAGCCACTCACCAGTGCTTAACTCTGAATGGCATAAAACTGTTAGTTTCATCATGAAACAGTCCCCTTTCCCCTTATTCCCATGTGTGGAGCACTTGCAAGGTTACATTCCATTTAATCATGGTAGCATGCATACAGCCTACCCCACTAATTTAGGTACCTAATTAAATACAGTTAAGGTGATGCATTTTCTTTGTGTTAATCTGCGTCAGTGTTTCAGTCTCTACAGGCATGGATTGCACTTGGTAAACTGAAATATAAATATTTAAAAATAAAAGAATGTACTATTTGGGAGGCTGAGATACGAGGATCACAAGTACAAGGAAGCCTGAATAACTTAGACTGTCTCAGAAGGAAAGAAGGAAGGATTAAAAGTAACTTAAAAATCTATTATTTTTAAGTCAGAACTGTGTTCAAATTGTGCTGTTTCTCATAATTAACTTTTATATACCACTAAAGCATTCTGAACCCAACTTTTCTCATCTTTAAAAGTAAAGGACAGTACCACCCTAAAATGAAATAAAATGGCAAATGTATATATACAATATACAGATATAGTATACAGTGACACACAATAAGCGATTTCTTATTTTTAACAACTCTTACATCATCCATTCTTTCAATATATGTTGAGATCAATTTCTACATTTTGATTTGGTAGATTAAAACTGTTGAGTGTATTACATTAATCAAAATAAACCATCTGCCATATCCTTTCACTTTGGTGAATTTTAAGAGTGTTTATGTCAATAATTACTTATACTGGGGCCTGGGATATAGTTCAACAGTATAACACTTGCCTGGCAAAAACAAGGTCCTCGGTTTGATTCCTGGAACAAAAATTTTAAAAAATAAATAAAAAGGAATTAAAGAATAATTTCTTATATTACTAATAAAATATACTATTAAAATGCTATTTTTAAAGAAAAATGTTAATGACACGAAAATAGTATTCAGAACACTTCTCATGTTTCTTTTAAAAATTAAGAATTTTTCAAGATGTCATTTGAAATCATCTATAATCTTAAAAAATATACCAACTGATTTGTCTGTGACAGTTCATTTACTATGTGATATTTCATTTGGCCTTTATTATACTTGAGCAGTTGAAAGACTCACAGATGGTAAAATTTGCCAAGGGTATAAAGCCACAAATAAAGAAAAATAGAAAGAGGAATCAAAAACTTATAAAATTTGACACATTGATATAAAATTCTAAATATTGTGCATTATATTTTTTACTATAAAACTGAAGGATCTAAAGTTAATGAACAAATGACAACATCCCTAGTGAAATAGAAGTGTTCCTTAACTCAAAAGAATGCCTGTCCTGATCCGTAATGTGGAGATCATTATTTATAATAGCACTTACTGGTAAAGTTTTAAAAAGGAGTGAAACCTTAGACCGGCACTCAGCTGTGACTAAGGCGGGTTTATTTCTGATTCCGGAGCCTCGGAGTGGAAGTCATGCAGTGATTCAGAGCATTGTGATGGGCCAGCTGTCCGTGGTCAAAGCTCTCCTCTTGTGGTCAGCACCACCCTGCCAGAGGGGAGACTCGCAGGAGCCTCCGCGTCACGTATTCACGGACACACCTGACAGTTTCAGTGCAATGACAGAGGAATATGCATGTAATTTACCTTCACTGTTTTGAAGACAGTTTTCCCTGAGTACCAGAGCACATATGACTTGCCGTACTGGGTCCAGTTGATGCCTCTTCAGCTAGTATTCTGTATTATCTGTATGATAGTTATCCAATAGCTTATTTTTTACTTTCTATACTGTAAGAATCTAGTGGCAAGGGACTATTACATTCATCATTTCACCGTGTAGAAAAATGTTTGCTACAGAACAGCTACTTAAGAAGCATTCACTGGGTGAATGTACAGTATGGCATTATTAATCTATGATCCAGTGTAACCACTTGTAAGAAAAATAAGTTTGTGTCTAACAACAATGAAAACAACAAAGTTCACTAATCTGAGGAGTAGTCTTTAAGTCACAGACTATTTGCTGATATAGTTTGTGGTCTACAAATAGTACCATTGGAAAGCCTTGAATTGAAGAACTAAATTTTTCCTTCAATGTTGTGAATGGTATTTACATGACCCATGACAGCCCCATGCATAAAATCTTCAAATTGTTCTTCATAATTGCATACTTAAAGGGAAATAATAAGCATATTTGTATTTCAATATCTGGATCCTGACCTGCAGAACAGAGAGGTAGAGTGTTATTTTATATCTAGAATGGAAAATCAGGAGTCTTTCAAAACGTGACGCAGTTGCTTCCATGGAATATTGTCAGACCAATAGGAGATAGCAAAGAACTTTTATGGACAGTATAAATATTTTGAGCCATGGGCATCATTACCAGCTGATATTTTGTGTCCTCAGGACCAGCTGTTCAGGAGCATCCCGGACCAGAGCCAGGCACAGTTGAGACTGATCTAACTAAAGACTGCCGCAGGCTCTTCTGCAGCGATGTCGGTGTTAGAAGAAAGTCGACCGTTTGCTCAGCAATTATCCAATGTCTACTTCACGATACTTTCACTTTTTTGTTTTAAGCTTTTTGTGAAAATCAGTCTTGCCATCCTCAGTCATTTCTACATTGTGAAAGGCAACCGCAAGGAAGCAGCAAGGATAGCAGCTGAATTTTATGGAATATCCCAAGGACAAGGTATGTTCCTGAAATACTCTATCTGAATTCAGCTTGTCACTTGATCTGTGGAACAATAAAAACATCACATATTTTTTTCAAAGTGAATATTTTGTAGACTTCTATAAAGGAAAATACTTGTAATTCACTTCATTGCTTCATAAAACAGAAAATTGCTTTTCCTTGTAAAAATTTGGCTTAAAAATCAATGTATCATTGCAAATTAGATTAATGAAGATATACTGTATTTTTATTAATAAACATTTAAGTTATAAGGATTTTATTTGCCAAATCATGGTTTTAGAGGTTAGTTTTACAAGTAAGCGATTGTATTTCAATTGTCCTTTAACATGTACTAGCATTATATTATTGTAAATCAAATATTTAACTATACATAAAGTATTTTCATTAAAATAGAAGACAAAGATTTTATTACACATAATTTTGTAATCTGATTCTAAAAGCCCAGAAATGAAGATTTATGGCATGTGTTTCCTTAATGAGATTGTTAATGTTTACTCAGTTTGTGAAAAATCAATTATAAAGGGAAAAGAACACAAATTGGGGCTAGGGTTATAACTCAATGGCACAAGTGCTTGCCTGACAAGTACAAGGTCCTGAGTTCAATTCCAGGTACCAAAAAAAATCCAAAAACATTTATATATGTACCGTCAAGTGCATCTGCATCTCTAGAAGAAACTGAAGTATGAAGTAAAATGAAAACCAGTAATATTAATCATGGGCTTCAAAGTGTGTAATGCCATTTACATTTTATTGGACCAATACTCTATGTAGTAAAAATGATTCAGATGGTGGGGTTCAAAGGGTCATCTTAATTTCTGTGGTCTTTGAACTCCTTTTTTGTTGGAGATGAATCAAAGTGTGTGTGAACAGTTTGTGACCCAAATGCCTCTAAAGCAATTTACATTTCAGAATCAAAATGCAGTCTCGCACAATCGGAAAGTGGTGATTTTTTAAAAAGAGTACTCAGTAGAAAGCTTACCTTCTTAATATCTATTTTCGCATATTTTTCAATTTGTGACATTAATGTTAAAAACTAGGTTACTCTATTGATAAAATGAAAATCAAGAAGAAAATCTTTTTATCACATGTGAAGTAGATAAAATACTTTTTCATGAGGAAGATTGCTTTTGTGAAAAGTGAGGAATTCCTGTATTCACTCAAAGCAAGGACAGTTTAAATGCCAACATGAGATTCTGCCAATGAATATAAATATAAATATGAAAACTGGAGCAAATGGGCAATATCTAATCCTTTGCCACCACCCTTACTTCAAAACAGGGAGTTATTGTATTTAAATATAATATCTTTACTACTCTGTGATCCAACTAAATTTTTTTTTAAAAAATCATTCAATGAATGTAGAAAATCAGATTGGAAAGCAGGTAATAAGACCATAAGGCAGTAAAATTTATTCTCATAACATACTATAGCTCATTACTTCAGAGTTAGATCTTGTCTGTAGATTATGAAAACTGCTTTAGGTAAAACAGAGGAAGCATTTTTGGTGTTGACAAGGATTTTAGAGGATGCTACAGAAGCTCCTTTTTGTAAATATTTACAAATAAGAAGAGAGTCACGGGTACGGGTATGGCACCTCACTGGAGGCTTTGTAGTGTGTAAGAGACTTTGGGCTCCAAACCCAGCACCATGCCAAAACAAACTAACAACAAATAAATAAAACTCACAAAGACAGTCATTTCCTCTTTAGCATAATCTCATTGTACGTATGCAGGAAATTCATGGAAATATATGGAACAGCTGCCATGATCATGTGTACACTTAGCTTTCTATTTTAGGATATGATAGAACTGTAGGATTTTGTCCCAAGATGGAAGAAAAGAAGGAAATCAATACTCACTTATAGCAAATGTACTTTGTGGAACTGTAAAATGGGAACAAAGTTTTAACAATTTAGTTTTTTCCTGATATTAGGACTAAAATTCTCTGTCCTGATATCATCATTAATCTCTATACTTGAGAATGAATATACAACTATATATTTTTTCAATGTAACCATAATTAGAACCCAATTTTACAATAATAAAATATCTTACAAAAATTCTTAATCTCTTACTATTAAAAAATAATTCTTCCTTACTCAAGAAGTTATCATTTTTTGCCTCATACATTTTCTTTTTCCCTTCACTATAATTGAGTTATTTTATTTCTTTATTTATCTATAGACTGATTAATTGGGCTTAACTATCTTTGTATAACCCACCAGTTTCCTCCTTCCTTGGAAAGATTATCACCTTCATCCCACTTTAAATTAGGTTTTCATTCCTACTTTCAAGGCTTAGCTAGATTGTGTCCCAATTTTTTGGACATGGAGTTGCCAAATTCTATGAAATAAGAGATGATGTGTGTGTTTTCCCGTCTTTCACAATCCCAGAAGACCCTGTTGACAACATTCTGGATGCCCTCCCTAGGAGCAGCAGTGCTTTGATATGAAGTTTAACAAACACTTGGTTTTTCTTGATAGTAATGCATTGTATGAGCTAAACATAAGCTCGTTTTTAAAAGCACTTGCCAGTCAAGTTTAGACCAAAGTATTATACAACAGAATATCAAGAAGCTAAGTGGTAATTAAAATAGCTTAAATACTTCCTCCATGATACCTCTGTGATGCCAATGAATTTTACAAATCAGTCTTTCCATCTCTCAAGATGTATCCACCCTACCATCATACTGAAAGAACTGTTTATTTACTATGCTTTTCTATGTAACTGTCTCCTGTAGCATTAAATATCCTGATTGCAGTTTCTATGTTTGAGTTCAAACCTATTTTTAAAGTCAGCACTATACTTTAAGATTAAACTAACAAGAATTGAAATGTATTTTCAACTGTGATACTAAACATTTCAAACAGTGAGAACACATTTGAATGCATTCACATATTAAATGTGAATATTAATTCTGAAAAATCATTCCAAAGCCTTAGAAGAAGCCATGAACTACTAAAACCTAAAGGACAAAGGACACATTGAGGGACAACTTCTGTCTTCTGTAACGGACACTGCTTTCCAACATCTATACTGAACTCTAGAGAAGTTCAGCAGTTTTACCTTCAAATATTTAGAGTCAGTTCTATGCATCATAAGGTAATGGATATACAGGATATTAAAAAACCAAACTGTATGACTGTCATCCTTGAGCAATTTATATTCTAATTGAGAAACTGAGATGTCCACATATAATGACCACTTTCAGATATACTAAATGCCAAATGAATCTGAAAAATGAAAGGGTCAACTTCAGGTCTTGTTATAAGATGGGGACCTAGACTGATTTGGTGGTGATTTTGTGAAAAGAAGGAACAACACACACACACACACACACACACACACACACACACACACGGAAAAGATCAATGAATGAATCTGATTAACTACACAGGCCCATTCCTAGCCAAGGCCACTTCTGAGAGATGAACCCTTACTGCTTGCTGAATCGTGTGGGCCACCTGTCTCTACTGTGAAATAGTAAGGAAAATCAGAAAAGCATACAGCTAGAATCTGATTTCTAGACTTACTTTTGATTTATTTAATTTCCCTTTTTTCTTCCCTTTCTTTTATAAATAGCCAAGTAGACTTTGGCTCCTCAATTTAAAAAAAAATGTACTGGATTGCCCTCCAGGGTGTTTCAGTCCATCTGACCTTGTTTAGTACTTATTTTAAATTAATACAATTGCATCATGGTATTCGTCTTTATAGTTATTCTGAGCTCTTTGAGTTGTAATGCCTCTGATTTTGTTATAGTTTAACTGATATATCAGGTTCAAGACCCTAAAATGCCATGGATAAAATACAGGATTGTGAAAACTTCTCAAGATAATGAGTTCTTCTGAGACTGCCTGAGAAGTGATCTCATGGCATTCAATTTTTTGAGATATTTCTTTCATGGTTGAAATTTTGTGTGAAACAGACAATCATCTGAGGAAATGCTTTTGATTGTGTTTTTGTAAGTTCAATTTAAGGATTGCAAACAAACACACAATTATTACTTTTGTGTTTGTCATATCTACCCTTGACCCCTGGAAATAAAATATGCCAATGTAAGTCAAAATACAGAAGAATTTATCATTTTGGAGAATAGTGTGACCAGGCTAGGAAAAACACGTAGAATTTAATACAATCTCTTACTTTCCTCCATCAGTAAAGCCTATCCTCAATTTAAAACAAACTTGGAAAGAATTTAACTTTACAACATAATCCAGCAATGGTAACAGCAATCTTTAGTACACCATTGTATGTGATTTTTAGTACTTCTCTGTTGATTCTGCATAAGTTGTATTGGGACCATTTCTCAAAATTTCAGGAGGCAATAGAAGCCTCCACAGCCTCTTTAACATTCATTATACAAATGTATTAAAATATACTGAACACATTTTAAACTTACTTTCCATACTTAGGTGTAACAAGTCTATAGAAGAATAGCTAAAATCAACAGAACTCTTCTGTTAAGTAGCACAAAATAATCATGTTATACTCAAAATTGCCACCAAAATTTCTTTTTAAAAGAAGCTTGAGTTTGTTCAAGCTCTATTATTTTTAGAACTGCCAGAGCACTTTTTTGGGAAAAGATTATTGTATCTTGTGAATTAAAAATGAAACTTGGGAAACAAGTTCCATGTTTAGAAATAACTTTGTCAAATTTTAATGTGTTATTACCTTTATTCTTCTATATTTGAGGAATGCATAAATATTTTAAGTATTTCAGTTAGTGGTCGTTTCAGAGCGGTCATTTTTTCTAGAAATATCACATATTTTTGTTTCTCTCATTTGACTGCTTTGTCATATTATTTACAATACATAATGTTCATATATGTATTTTCAATCAAAGGTAGTGTGTTGCCTTTAAAGATAAAATGTACTAAAAAACCAGTTTCTTTCTTTAAATGGTGTGTAGTTTAGTGAAAGCCAGACAGATAACTAATGTTTGTTTGTTTTTTAAAAAGGAAAATTCTATTTTACAAGATTTAAGGAAGGTACTATGAAAGTATGAAGAGTATAGAGCTGAAATTAGTTCTTCCTAGGTTATATAATTTAAATAAAAGTTGTCCTCATAATATACATGCCTTTTCCCACAATTGTGCATGTATTCTTAATCATAATACTCAAAACACTTCCTAATTGCTTGTGTCTATTCCTTACTAATTAATTTCCAATTTTCCATCTGTTATTTCTAAGTTGTATATATCTTGCCTAAAGCTTTACATAAGGTGTAGTGTTTTATTATTAAAATAATTGATTTTCTGGAAACGTATAAGTATGTTCATTATTTATCTACTAAATTTTTGGAAAATATGATAAATATTCTTTCTTTCTTCTTTTTTTTTTTTTTTTTTGGTGGGTCCTGAGAATTGAACTCAGGACCCTGCACTTGTTAAGCAGGCATTGTGTCACTGAGCTATAACCCTAGCCACAAAATAATAAATATTTTGGTACCTATTTAATGTAAATTTTGTGTATTATGATAGATGACCTTGACTAGAATATAAAACCTCCAAGTTTTTATATAATAAGAACAGTAAAGGAATTAACACTGTCATAATAATATAATTTCTCATATTATCTCTTTTAGAAGACAATAAATTATTAAGATGACTTTTTTTATTCATTGACATACCTATACAGTTCTGTATTTAACTCAGAGTATAAATACTATTATATTCCTAGCATAGTGTTATATGATATATATATATACTAATAGTTGGGTATAATATATAATTTCTAGATGTAAAATATGTATGTTTATATATATATTTAATGCATATAGTTTATGATTCATTTTTTGATTAAAATGATGATAAGACATCGGTGAGGGAAGCCAAACTTTGCATATGTACAAGAACCCAACATCAGCAAGTAGATGATCATAAGATGTTAATGAAAAACAGCAAGTTTTGTAATTGCTGCTTTCGTAGAAGTCAAGAGGGAAGAGGTTGAGGTTAACTGAGCATAATAAGCACTTCATAGAAAAGGTAGAACTTGCAGTAGAAGTATAGAGGCAGAGCATATTTGGTTACATAGAAGTGGAAAAGAAACCAAAATGAATATAAAGAAAAAAAGGTAGAATGTGGAACTAACTAAAGCCTGGTTCATCTGAGTAAAAGTTGAAGCATAAATGTTAAAGATAAGATACACAACTGAGTGTGGTCAGAGTCAGTAGGGAAAATAAAGACATTTTCTCAAATCATATTCCCGAAAGTAGATGTTCTACTAAGAGTGTTCTAATGTCTTTTACTGAGTTCGGCTTATAAAAATCATTAACTCATGGTGGAAATAATTACCATCTGGAGTATTTTATAAAATCCTTGGCGTAACAATTTAATGTATCATTATGTGCATTTCATGAGTTGTATGTCAGAGAAGATGGAACACCTCCTGGACATCAGCTCAGGGATGTGCCAGCCCCGAGAGGCTCCGCAGATCACATGAACCACATTTCAGGGAAAGAAAAACTGTCATTGAAAACAAGTGCAGTATTTAAATCATCTCCTCTTCCAAAGCCGGCGGGGGTGGTGGAAGGAAGAAAGGAAAAGAAAGAGAAGGAAGGAAAGAAAAAGAGAAGAAATGGAGCAAGAGAGGGAGGAAGGACACTGGTTTGCTTGCTGCCTATTCAAAACTGTTGGCATTTCTTCTTTAGCAGCTGCATAGAGAACAATCATTCATTCTTTGCAGTTTTCTCAGCAAAGCTGCAGAACAGATGTAGACTTTTTTAGAATGAGATTACTTAAATAATACCAAGTCAGAGAGGGAGAGGTAAAAGGGCTGCATAAATTGATACATTGTTAGTGCTGAAAGAACTTTCCAGGGAATGAGTAAACAAGTTTACTTTGTGAAATGCAGGCTAAGGAAAAACATACTAGAATACTATTTTTTTCAGCCCTGAAAGCCCTATTAATTTCTATGGAGCAGGATTTTGAAAATCTCTCTTTTAAATAAATTTAAGAATTTGATGGAAGAGTGTTAGGGACTGAATGTCTTGGATAGTGAGAGGGGACAAAGTTCTCATCAGCACCTTTCATTTCTCTAAGTAAAGAAACTACTTTCTTATCTGCTTCAGTTGAGCTTTAAGACAAAGTTTCATCAAGGAAAGGCATAAAATAATGCTTAAAGCAGGACCGTCCCCAGTTGTTTCAGATATTGTCCCAAATATGTCCATCACTACAGAACCAAACCATCTATGATATGAGTCAGGATTGAACATCCTTTCTACATTCTTTCCTAGGGATTAGAGCAACAGTCAACATGTGGGGCCCGCCAGGAATGTGCCTAACTATGTGAAATGACACGAGGGCAGTCTTTCTCCACCAGGGCAACTAAAATTTCCATGTCACCATTACCTACTGAGTAAAATAGAAACTTTCAGAAATACACATACTCTTTCCAGAAGGCTTATCATCTTGCACTACGGGCAGAGTACAAACAAACTGAAATTTGACCCTGAAATGCCAATTGCATTCTTAAGTAGAAGCCCTGGCTCAGATAAATGAAAACTTACAATGATAAAATTAAAGTGAAGCCTTACCCATTGATAATCTGCTGTTTGTCCTCATAACTCTGCCAAGTTCTTTGTTACTGAAGCAAATCAAGCTAGGCTGACAAAGTTGTGGGCGGAAATGCCCTCCTTCTAAAGGAAGTTCAAACACTGTGACAGCAGTGAATTAACAGCCAAGAAACCATAAAGACTGTGAATCGAGTACTTAGTAGCAACCAAAGGCATCTCCAATGAACCACTGAGGGAACTTATGGGGCACTTGTGTTTTCCAAAGACTACCATATTCACCGGAGAAATGATTATGTCTATTGTCCATCAAGTCAAAGCAAAAACTAATTTTAGAATGAAATGACGAAACAAATATATTCCTAAATTTAGAAGCTCTTGTGTTGGTGACCCAGGATGACAAATTTAGAAAAGGAGAACTTGCCATCTCCTTTTGAGTTGAAATCCACAGAGTTACAGATACTATTGAGTCTGAGACAGAATACATTTTCATAGCAATTCTCCGACAGCTACAAGAAAGAAACTGAATGAAGATTTCCCTCTCTCTTTTCCTCCTCTCTTCATCAACTGTATAGTTATGGTAAAATTGCTCATTTTACAAAGTCTAGTGTAGGAGTGGTGTTTATGTTACTTACCATTACTGGAGGAAACTAGCCAAACAAGACTGGGAGGAGAAAACCTCTTGTAACATGAATATAAGTCCTAAAACAATACTTGTCTATCTGATGAATATGATATTCCAAGAATGTGAAAGAGAGGGAAATCTAATTAAGTTCCACATAGGATCCACTGGAATTAAAGATATTTCAAAAACTATGAATTTTAGTTACAAAAATTTTTATTATCATTTAAAGCCTAGTGCATACCCATAATTCCTGTGCACTAAAGCTGCAATAGGAGGATCCCAGGTTTAAGACAAGCCTGGGAAACTTTAACAATTCAATGAGACCCTGTCTCAAATAAAACATAAGTAAAAATAAAAAATTATTGGAAAAACAAAATATGTTTAAAAGTACATAAAAATGACCACAGATTTGTTCTATGGCATTATAATAAATGTTTTCATTTTATGTGTTTTAAATGATAAAATATTGAATAAAAGAAAAATTAGCTTATAATTGTCCTGACACTTATGAGGCATATGTGATTCTTGCCAATACTTGAATAGAGACTGAACTCTAATTGGATAAGTAAATCTTTCAAAACTGCTGTCATTTTTGAGAAGGAAATTATAGTGTATTGGACAAAATGCTATCTTCTGTTCCATAAAATAACTATCTTTGGTGTGTAGGAAAACAACGCTTTAGATATTGAATAAAGCTTGCAAATATTTGTAGAATGAATAAAAAGCATTAATAGGAGAAACTGGAAACTTAAATCACATTGCATATAGCTTAGAGGGTTACTCAGATGAATACTTTTAGCCATGTGATTTTAGGAGAGTTGCTTAACACCTGTAAGCCTCAGTTTCTTCATCAGTATTATTGCAAAATCTAGGCTGTTGTATGAAGATTGTGATGAATTTGCCACAGCGTACTACAAAATGGCAAACTGCTTGCTTTTTTTTATAGTCAGTCATAGAAATGACAGCTGAAGCTGCTTCACATCCATTATATCAGTGCCCCAGCCATTAATGCTATCTACCAGGCCATCCTTTAAAAAAGTCTCGTGTTAATTTATTTTATTTTCTCTGATTCCCTGTCAGAGGAAAGAGAAGACAAAGAACAATGACAACAGTAACTGTGAAGAGCTGAGTCAGCTAATTCAGGGATTTTGCTGTTTCCTTTCTGCAAGCTGGCCTTTCCAGAATGTGACCAAGAAAATCCGCCCCCCCCAAAAAAAAAAAAACAAAAACAAAACAAAAACACCATAGTTTTTCTTTAGATATATTTAACTAAAAGCTTTTTATTTCTTTTGAGAAAGAGGAAAGTAACTTGCCTTTTAGTAAACAAAATCTATCTGAAAACAAAAATACAGAATTATTTCATACAATTAAAAAAATCTTATTAAAGTCTGATCCACATTTTAAATTACTTGGGGTGCTATGTAAAGCTTTGCAAAGTGTCCTTCCAAGCTATACCTGCTGGGAGCAGTTGTCTGTTTATTGAGACTGCAAAGTCAATCTGAGGTGGGTATGCCTCTATTCAGAAAATGATTTTTAAAAGTTTAGCTTTCTCTCTTCCACACAAGACCATTAAACTATAGACCTTACAGTTGGGAAAATATGATAATCAAAGCAACAGGAAATTAAAACTGTTAGTTGAAGAAAACAAAACAGTAGCTTTTTCTTACAGATGTATGGACAAGTGCGAATCTCAAACTCAAGCCAAAAATGAAGCTTTGCATCTGAAAGCTTAACAGGAGTACAATAAACTTTCTCAAAATGGGAAGTCTGGTGGAGACTTCTCAACTTGAAAGGAGAATTTCTGAATAACAACAGTACATGACAGCCTCTAAAATTTTCAGGACATAGCTCAGTTTTTGCTTAAAAAATAATAGAGATGATACAGTAATGGCCATGTATTTTTTGACGTGGTAGAAATATAGTTGCATATGATAATAGAGTAGTTATGTTCTAACAGAATTGCTGCCTTTTAAAAACAGCTATATATTAGATGTTTTTAAAGCTGTGTTTATAGCTCAGGAAAATACCATATATTTATATTTTATAAATATATATAAACATATATGAGGATGTAAATACAGTTGCATTTTAGAAGTTGAATATTAAATATCTTTTAGTTAACTTGAGCTATATAAATTTATTAATTAAAGAAATCTCTTTGGAAATAAACTATTCATCTCTTATAACAAATTTTTCATGCATAACATTTTGTTAACCTGAGGTACTTTTATGTGTTGTGTTTCCAGTAAATATTATGTGGTTAATATTGTAACAGAGAGAAAAGTAAAAAATGAAAAAAAAGTAAGCATCTTCTGCACAGACTGAATTTGTTGTTTTTTTAAATTTCTGTAATTTGGGCCAGGGATTTAGCTCTGCGGCATAGCACAAGGTCGTGACTCAATTCCTGGTGCAAAAAAAAAAAAAAAAAAGACAAAAATAAATAAATTCCTGTAATTTGACTCTTAACATTTCCTGTTTCCAGGTTATGACTTGATGTACCCTACTTCACACATTCTGTTGATAACACTGATATCAGTCTTTTGACCCAGAGATGTAGAAATGAGACTGGGCCAAATATTGCAAACACACACACTCTTGTCTAGACAGTGCTTTTTTGGGGAAGAGAGGAAGAAGCCTTGGGGAAGGTGCAGCTTTTGCTGAAGGGAGTCAACAATTGATCCAGAGAATGATCAAGCTACTGCTTATAGGATAAATATAGCAGTAGATTTCCATTGATTTTCTGGGGTGGGCAAAGTTCTGGTTACTGTCATTGATCAGGGGCATAGTTTCAAAAGAAAGATGTTTCCTCCTGTGATGGACTTGGACTACTGGGAATTCAAAGTTAACTCACCCTAAAGGCCATTGAATTTTTTTACATTTGGCATCATCATACTATGCAGTGCATCTCAATTTCATAATTGGTGGACTAACTAAGGTGGTCAGTTTTACTCAGTAACTGCTGAATTACTCTGATAGTGCGTAGACGTACACATCATCTTGGCCTTATATTATTACTGAGGGAATCTCAGTGCTTGAGCTACTGAAAAAGCACAAGTCTAGGATAGAAGAAACATACCAGCTCCAATAGGCAATTGGCCAAATTCCTTTCATCTTCATGAAATTAGTGGTAACTCCTTAATCCAAACAAACAAATCCTGCTGTATTTTTTCTTAACTGGAATCAGTTCATGATTCATAAAATATTCATATATATTCTTCACAGCTTAGTAACTCCAAAATTGCTTCCTTTTGGTAAACAACAAAACTTCTTCACTTTTTCATTTTAATGAATATATTTTAGTTTTTAATCTAAGTAAATATTAGGAGAATATTAAACACTTTGTTCACAGAAAATTAGATTCTTAATATGCTGTTTCTCAGTATTGCAATCAGAAAACACCACAAATACCAGATATCAGAATAACTGAAAGGAGATTGCCCTTTTATCTCTAAGGCAGATCAGAACATTATTGAGTGTTAGAAAAAGTTACAAAAAGGGAGATAGCTGATATAGAACTGAGAATCAATACCTGCTAAGAAACTTTTCAACTGTGGGCTTTAGAATTTCATGGTTCAAATACCTTTATGTGTTGTGTTACACCTATGCTCCAAATCCTTTAGTACTTGTTTGCTCACAAAGAGTAGGAGTGATTAATCACATAAAAACTAGAAGCTGTACTTTTACCCATGCATGCAACTAGCTGATTCATCCATAACATAGACTCATAAAGGATGCGATGTAAAGAGTGCTTTGTCTCCAGTGTTAGGATTCTGTTTTCTTGTAGTCACTGTAGCAACAGGGGTGGAGAAAGCAATGATTCCTCTCCATGGAAGGCCTCCTCTTGGCAGGCAAAGTACCTGCAAGATGCCCAGGACTGGTCTGCCAAACTGGATGTGACACCAGCTCGACATGTGACAGTGACACTCGAGGCCAGTATATCTTGCTTTCTGTTCTTGAGATGTACTAAAGATGTAAACATGTCATTATAAATCCACTTAACCCTCACAAAAATATGATGTAGATACTATTGGTTATTAGATCTTTTTTGCTTTCCTTACTTTGTATTTGCTGGTTTAGATTTGTTTACATGTGGTATTAGGTAGCAAAACAGTTCTTTAGAGAGAGTCAAGGTTAAAGCATCCCATCTCTGCTCCAGTGTTGCTTTAACTGTTAACTCTATGCGTGGCTTAGAGGTTGCCATCTGCCCACTCTAGGCGTTAGTTTCTTGATCTGCAAAATAAGGAAACCAGATAGGATCAGTGAATATTCACCTTTTAAAAAAAATAATCCAGAAGCTCAGTTGGCAAGCTATTGGAGTAGAAGTTGCATAGTTTGAAGACAGCCATACAGGGTTGCACACTCTGTTGTAGCTCTATTGAACTAGTAAGGCTTTTTGCAGCCATTTGTAAATCACTGAAGTGGAAGATATTTAAGTTCACTTTTAGCTCCAAAATGGTATGATCCTTTCAAGTTATTTTGAATTTTAAGTTAATCATTGTTTGTAGCAAAAAGGCTTTTAGCACAGAGAACCCAAATTTCCTTTCTGTGACTTTATTGTATCCATGACCCCAACCATCCTTTTCCAGAACTTGGAGAGTGTACCCAACTGAACTGCCCAGAACAACTGCCCTGAGTCACAAAGA